CATTATTAAAAAAAAAATGAACATACCACTAAAACCTCAACAAAAAGTTTCATCTTTTAGCATCCGTATGAAATCTTTTGGTGAAATCAAGCTCGATAACATGTCCTATAAAAAAATGGCAATTTAATATGCCTTCTATATTACTTCTTTGAGTTTGATTCTTAATTATAATTACTGAGTATATAATGCTTCAAGTCAGTAAAACCATCTCGAATAAAAGAGAAACGCTGAGTTTTCTTTACGAATTTAATCTATTAAGAAAGTATCTAACATACATAATGATGTTCTTTTTTAGATGCTACGCTTTAAGATGAAGGTTATGGTTATCCATATTTTTACCGGATACGACCGTTTTCGATAAAATACGGTACGTGTACGAACTGTATTTTATTTTAATCTTGGTCCCCACAATACCGCATCGGGAATAGTACTGGATTTGATCATATACTTATCGCATGTTTTCATCTATGGCATGTCTCTATGTTTCAAATGAAAGTACGAGTACGTTGTTACTATTTTATTGAAGAACTGGAAACTTTTGTATTTTAGATTAAATTCACCTTTGACTTATCTCTGTATGTATTAGGTTAGAAAAATCTATTATATATGAATTTTATTTCTAGACATAGATCACAATGACTATTTGGTTTTCATAGCGTAAACTCCAGCAGATAGATCACATATAGGTAAATTTTAGTTCAGAGAAGTTTATTCGTTTCTAGGAAATGCAATCTCGAGATGTATTGTCAATACTGTGTGAATCGTTAAAATATGTCTAAGATACGTAAAGATCTAGTTCAGAGAGCTAATGAATGGCGTGCTGGAAGATGAGGAAAATGCTCCAAAATACTCATATTTATATTAATTTTAACTAGAGATTCAATAATTTGTAATTGCAACTAATATCAGTGGCGTAGCCAGGGGTGCGGAGGGGGAGCATTAGTCAATTACCGAATGATTTAAAAGTTGTTGCCCAAGATTTTTCGAAATATTAGCATTTGCCAATGCAAAAAATCTTGATAGACGTGCATGTTCGAAGCTCCAAGAGATGTTAGTGTAAAGCAGTAACTATGGTTTTAATCTAATCAAGTGATCCAGGAAGATGAAACAATGGTGTTTTTCTTAAATGGGTGATCGCAATAATTAAAGTTCATTGGTGTTGTTGGGTGAAAATGCTCGATATTTCACTTAACTCTGCTTCTGGAAAATGTGACTGAAAGCTCATCAATCTCTTTAAGCATATACAACTATATCGAACGGAAGTGACTGAAGTAATTTCAGTGAAATCATTCCCCTAATCCACTTTCCCCCGACGACTCCGCGAGGATTTATCCGGGGAGAATTGATGAAATTATTTTAAATTAAAAAAACTTTTTAACTTTTTTAACTTTTAAAAAATTTAGATGAATTTATTAGTAATTAGATATTTCATCAATTTTGGCCAGATAACTCCCCGGAGAGTCCCCAGGGTGTCCCCGCAAAAGAACGAAATCCCTAGGGACTCCCTGGGGATTCTTCTAGGGAGAGTTGACTAGGGTTGAACTTTAACGAGGTAAACAGTGACATCACTTATATAACTTCAAAATGAAAAAAGTTTACAGAAAACATAAAAAATGTAGATGAAAGCGAAGTCAACATGTATATGATAGTTCTTCGAAAACAAAATCAGAAATTTCGAGCAATGCCAATGGAATACTCATGAGTGATTTGAAGAGCATATATGTGTATTTAAATCAGCATCAATAACGCATAGAAACAATTTTTCAGATGTGGCAGTATGTATGTTTGTTCGTGATTTTTTTGTTTTACTTTTGTATAACTAGTTCATTTTTGTTCTACTCATACTTATTGGAAATGTTGGAGTTGGAGTTCTATTGATACTTTTTGATCGAAATATAAATGTTGACATATGAGAATAACGAATATGTTGGTAAAACAGCGCAAAAACATTAAACAAGCTCGCCTCGTATTTAAGAATAACGAGTTTTCCTCCAGCAAAGTGATAAATTTTAAAAATTGTAGCCCAAGTAATATTCAATTGCCCATTGCTGCCCAATGCTTAAAATATTTCGGCTGGGAAACGGACCATGAGTCAAAAACACCTAGCTACGCCACTGGCTAATATACTTGTTGGATTTGTTGAAAGAATATTTAAAATTTAAATTCACCGTGGGCTTTATTTTTACTGTTGGCAACAAGTAAACCACGATAACTTCGTTCATTATAAAAGCGTAACAAATTCTCTTTTTATTTTTATGAATTCACGATTAACTCGATCAATATGTGTGCACAAATTATGTTCAATAGAAAGATGATAAAGAAAGTTTATGATTGTCAATTTCTAAATTAATAAAAAAATGTGAAAATCCATAAATTCTGTTTTTAGAAACAAACAGTGGGTACACAAATTATTCAGGTCAATCCAAAACTTTAAGCAGTCGTTTTTCTGTACTATTTAATTACTCTTTAAATTGTTTCATAATAACAAGATTTTTAAAAAAAATTTATGGAAAACAATGTGAAACTACATTTAATCGAATATAGTATATTTGCTTTTTTGAAAGAATGTTTTTAAGCTTTTTCTGTCTATCTTATTCGAAAGAAAAGCGACATCTTGAGTTATATACAGCCCCAGGTCAATGATTCCGGAGGACGGATACTGTAGGAATCGGCCGGAAAGATGCGGAAAAATCACCGTATCTGGCCGGAAAGCACGGGAAAGCACTGGAAACTGGAAGCAGTATTCCAGTTGGAAGTTACCGGATTTTTTTCCTGTGGATTCCGGTCAGTTTCCTGTGTTTTCCGGTCAGTTTTCTGTGTTTTACATCTGGAAGTTGATCGGAATCTACAGGAAAAAAATCCGGTAACTTCCAACTGGAATACTGCTTCCAGTTTCCAGCGCTTTCCTGTGCTTTCCCGCCGTTTCCCGCCGTACGTCCACGACCTGGGAGGCAATCTTTTAATGGAAGATCTGAAATGATGCACAAGTTTAAGGTGTTTAAAATAAATTATTCAGCAGTTTTATATATTTTAGTCGAAATGTTAAACGAGTTTTCAAGGCATTTCTCTCAAAAAAACAACATTTTTTCTACAGTTAGAAAGTTTATTAAAGAAATTTTTGACAACATAATACGGAATCTTATTACTGACTGTTCGAGACATCTTTATCTGTCTCTTAAAACGATGAAAGCTACAGGTCTCTATCTGTTTTCTATCAAGATTTATTTTAAAAGAAATTATCCATTTCGCCACTCAAACAGCCATCAGCATAACCTTAGCATATGACACGAAAATAGGCCTTATCGGAAAATCATAGTTATCATAGAACTTGAAGAATTATGTTATAAAACAGTGAAAATATCTCAACTACTAGTTTTAGATAATTCAAAGTGCATTCAGGAATCCATTAGTCAATGATGTTACAAATGATTGAGAACGCTTGCAAAAATAAAATAATCACCGTAGCACGTATCAACGATGGATTAATTATTATCGATACCAGATGCTAACTATGAAAAGAAGCAATTATTATAACTGATGAATACATTTTTATTTTGAATCAACTATTTTTCCTTAGTAGAGACGACATATTTACACCATGTAAAGATCAAGCAATACGGTATGTGTAAACCAGCATTCATAGTTGATTTATGTCAAATAGACAGATTAAAAGGGTATGCCAGCTGTTTACGCATTATGTATTAACCGCAAACATCCCTATGTGACAAAATTAACGTGAGAATACAAATGTTAGTAGCTATCTATCGATGTTTTTCTGTTTATTATACCAAAAACTCCAAGCTGAAAATAGAACAACAACGAAAGATAATTGTACAGATAATAGAAGTTTTCATTTAAATTATAATAATCTTTGAAATCTTAATGATTAAATAACTATTTTAGATCGTTCAGCATTTATTTTCGTTTAAATACTTTTCGACTGATAAATAATTTTGTTACTAAGTTATTTTCAATATGACTCGCTCTCTCCCTGAATAATTTCTCTTCTAGAAAACAAGGCAAATACAGATAAGAACATTATACATAAGTGAGCACAGAATGTAGGCTAAAGATTTCCATGTACTAGTATATTATTTACTTTCGAGCCATCTCTTTCCGTCGATTTATCTATCTTCACTGTATTACCAACATATGCTAATTAGATAACTGACAGACATAAATGAATGAAAAGAGTTTGTCTTTAACAACATAGAAATAAACGTACTGTCACTCTTAAAATACCTCTATGAAAAATGAGTTGTCAATCGAAAATATACCTAATCAGTTGAGATTACTTATATCTACGTTTTTTTTTTTGAATGATTTTATTATAAAATATATTTCGAATTATATCGATTGAAAATGTACTACTTTAAATATCAATATAAAAGAAAACATACAATAAATGTAGGACTTTTTGTGGAATACTATCGATATTTCATTTATAGTTGAACTATACAATCGACGAATGGAATACCCGTACGTGAAAAAAATTCACATCTCCACAGAAACACTCATCCGATCAAATGTATATAAATAATTTGATAATCTATTTTTCTTTTTAAAATGTTTTCTTCTTGTGGAATAAGATTCTCTAACAAATATTTCCTTTTTAACACCTCTGTCATCATACATATTTCATTAATAAGTAGATAAACAAAGATGTATAATTGATACGTTGGTTAGATTCGTATGACATCAATCTTGATGTAAATAATCATATGATTGATTATAAGAAAATAATTATTAGTTAGATATGAATATCGGCAAGATAGTTTGGAGGCGAAACCAAGCTGATTCGCTCTTGTCTGGTTCGACAGCTGTTTATTGATATGTTTGGTGTGAATGGCATTTGGCTCAATTTCAAAGAGTATCAATAAGAAAAATTGCCTGTTTCTTTGTTTTTATACATGATCAAAAGTTACCAATGAAGATAACAAAACAAAAAACAAGAAAAATACACTGAAAGAAATTGAATCTCATAGATCATTCTAAAATAATTATCTGTTGAAAATTTTTTCTTTTTGTTTACCATCCATTGGAATATCTATGTTAGTAATTAGTGCTTGTTTTACGTCTTGATCGTTTTCTTTTGTTAGATTATGATTATTTTCATTAATTTCAGTATGGAACTCAGTTGTATGCGGAATATACACCAATGATGATAATGGAGTTTTTCGTTCATAACATCCTGGATCATATAATGGTTCATCGTTGGCCGGTGGTGGATTGGATGAATCTTTTAGTATACTTAAACGACGTATATTATAATCTGCATTTGATAAATTTGATGCAGAATGTGATGGAATCGATACAATCGAGCCATTTTTTTTTGCACGATCAATCGCTTCTTTACGCTTTAAAGCCTTTTCACGACGTAGCTGTTCTTTATAATATTCAGCAAAATTATTAACGATAATTGGGATTGGTAAAGCAATAACAAGCACGCCGCAAACACAACATACGGCGCCAATTAGTTTACCCCACACCGATTTCGGATAGATATCACCATAACCTACTGTCGTCATTGTCTTTAGAAAAAGAAAGAAAAAATAAAATAACAGACATACAAGAGGAATATTTTTCGATAATAAACTTACAATACTCGCCCACCAAAATGCATGTGGAATCGAACGAAATTGTATAGCATTTCCATCTCTTTCAGCAAAATAAGCTAAACTTGAAAATAATAATATAAATATAGCCAAAAACATCAGAAGCATAGATAATTCTTTATAACTTCGTCTTAATGTATAACCTAACGATTGAAGACCGGTTGAATGACGTGCCAATTTAAGTATACGCATTATACGTAAAACACGAAATACTTGTACAGCTTTACGAACAGATTTTATATTTTTTAAATTACCCGTATCCATTGTTTCGAGTATAATCGAAATATAAAATGGTACAATAGCAATAAGATCGATTGTATTTAAAACACCTTTGAAAAATTTACATCTATCCGGCGTTGCAAATACACGTATAATATATTCAATTGTAAACCATGATATACATATAGTTTCAATAATAAATAAAAATAAAGGTTCACGACAATTACTAACACTTTCATGATGTTCAGCTGCTAACTCTTTTGCTGCAGCTTGAGCAGCTATACGAACAGCATCGGCACCAACCGATGCTGAACTATCAACAGTAACTTCTGGATCGGTAATATTTGGTGCACAACCAATACCTAAACAATATTGTTTTGAATGAAAATATAATCAATCGAAAAATAAAATTCTTCATATACCTTCAATAGTACTTAATGTCATCGTAAATGAAGACAGCAGGATAAATGAAATACTGACAAATGCAATAATCTAAAATTGATCATGGCATAATCATAGATATGAGAGAAAAAAAGATGGCATGACACAAAAAAGACTTACTCGAGCGCCTTTCGATGTATGCGGATGTTCGACAAGATCCCAAATTCTTTTTCTCGTCTGCGAACAACAACGATCACTAATACTTTCTTCTTTTTCAACTTTTAATAATTCAACTTCTTTTCTCATTTCTTCTAAAACATGATCTTTTTTTTGATGATATTTATTTTGACAACATAATTCTAAATAATATTCATCGATACCCCAATACTGTAAATCATCATGAAAAGATATTACACATAGATCGTCAACTAAATGAAGTTTTCCCGTGCGATAAAAATTAATAATTGATGAAAATGTACGTGGATGACGATCAAAAAAATATTCTCCACTTGATAAATCATAATCATCGCATAAACGCATTACTTCATCATGTGGCATTAGGCGTGTTGTTGACAATGTTGTTTGACGCAATTTTGCCAAACGACCTAACCGAGTATTTGGTAGACGAGAAAGTGTATGCCATAAAACTATAAATAAAGATATCTATATATATATATATATATATTTGTGCTTGTATGTATATACGTGTTTAGAGATACAAAAGAAAATAGAAGAAGAAAAAGAAAATATTACCTTCATGTCTAACACCACCAACATTTAAAGTAACTTTACGAGTAATATTAATATTAAATGGATAGACATTTGCCGAATAATCAGTAGATGCTCGTTGAAAATTTTCACTGTTTTTCGGTGTACCTAATGGAGATGGTATGATAGATGTAGCTGGTTGTTCTTCAACAATTTCTAATTCATTATGTTTGATAAAGGCAGCTGGATTTGCTACCGGTAAGATCGTATTGCCAGACATAATATGTGCTCTGGGTAATTGTAATATGTCTTCAGAATGATAGATGGTTGGATCTGTTTTTCCCATTGTAGCCATGAGCACATTACGACTAGAAGATGATATACTTGTAGGAAAATACGAATTCTTTATACTTTTATCGATGCGTAGAACAGGACACGAATCACCGCGATGTGATTTCGATAATTTAATGTTTGTTTTTATTTTGGGTCGTATTAAATGAATTGAAGGACAAGCAGATAATGATGATGATAACGGAGAATAGAAATAATCTTGATCGGGCGATTGACTTGCTGATAATAAACGATTATTGGTCGTTCCATTGGCTAAAATTGTCGCGTTATTTGATAAGGAAACGGTATGTAGTCGATTCTCACCATCATGAGGACTATAGACTAGAGCTGTACGAGTTGACGGCGACTCGTTTCCTACTGATGACGATACCGATTGCGAGAAAAGAGGCGGAGAAGGAGTAAACAACATTATCCAACAGAAAGCGGCTTGGACGACAAAGAAAAGACAAAATTAGATTGTTATTTGCCACGAGAAATGCTGCTATTCCATATAAATACATGCATATATCGAGTATATGCGGATAAAAAGAAAATCTACGAGAGCAAGTCAAGAACACGTCATCATAGAATAGAAGAAAGAAACGATAAAGAATGATTTGTGTTATTATTGATGATCTTGTCAAAAATTATCGAGGTTAACCCCAAGAGCTTGTATAGATGTGCACTACTCGTAATGTGCTTGATTAGAATGATTAGTCCCATGCAAACAGTGAGAGAAACGGTACATGCTGTGATGAATAGATAGGATACCTCAAATAGTGATATTTATTCGTTATTATATGGATGTCTCTTTTGCTTCTCTTGGGTCTTAAGTCACTGTGTTCAATTGTATCCGGCGCATAGACTAAATTAAGCCCCTATAGAATTAGAATTATTTTTTTTTCTTCTTAACGGCATCTATTGTGACTCTAAGATTTACCTTTTCCTTTTATCTTCTCAACATAGCCACCTGTTCATTTCAATCGGGCATCGATTAGTAAATTCAATCATTTACGTGTACATCTGCCACTTTTAATCCTCTATCAGCTCGTGTTTTTATTATGTGTTTGATTTTCTATTTTTTTTTTTGTCGTTGGCTATTCTTGTTCGACAATAACAATGACAATCAAATAGCACAGCTGGTTTTGTTGACTGGTGAACAAATGTTTCCTCTACATTTATTAATCAATCTAGCTAATGGATATGTGTCCTTAGAGCAGCTTACTCATTACAGTTATGATAGCTGGATTAGCTGTTGTCCTTTCATTTTGTTTATTTATTTTATTTTCTTATAGAACCGTATAAAAACAAAAGCTGGAGCTAAGAGACACTAATTCTCAAAATAATAACAATAACAGTATGTGTGTGCGATGTAGAATGTCTAGAAGTTTTGTTAACAAGTTGTTGTCTTAATATGGAAAATGAAACAAACGAGAAAAAAACAGACGAACTAGAACTGGTGAAATCTATTCAAATGATTATTCTACTTCTTCTTAGTGAAATTTAAATATTAAGCAATGATACGAGTCTCAAATAATAATAATGCTATAAAAGAGTAAAATTAATTGATATGTAAATGAGGATGTGAAAGGAGAGGAAAAAAATAGCTCTTTTCTGAGATATAACCGAGTAAAAACTACGTCTATGAAATGAGCCGACGAGCGTCTCTCTTACCAATTCTTTTCTTACACAATCCTTTTTTGCATTTTCCATTTTAATAATCAACAGAATCTTTCTTTTCTTTTTTCCTCTTTCCCGCAACGCGCAATATATAATATATGTCTATGTGTATGAGGGGGAAGTCTTATTGACAAATGAAATTTCATTATAAGCTCACTTTATAGGCCTATAGCTTGAGCTTTATTAATAATCTTTGTTTCATTGGCGACAAGTGAAAAGTGATATATATATATCGTTACATTACGACACTATAATGATAAAATAAAGGTCATATTTTGTGCTATTTTTCTTCTGCTACAAGCACAATACTTCTCTCGGATATAGGTGTTGTTCATTCAAGCATTTTCATTTGTCTCTTTCTATGCAATGAATAATACAATATATACAACATGAAGAAGAAATGATGAATTCCAAATAATATCAACGGCACATTTTTCTTTTCCAATCAACCGTAATGTTTTCTTAACGATAGATTTACTTTCTTTTTTTGTTTGCTTCGATGAATTTCGATGAATTAATAGAGCAGAAAATGAAATTTTTTTTCTTCATTTCAAGAAAAATTAAAATATTCTTGCCTAGTCGAATAATAATAACAATAAATCCAACATCGTAAATTATCATTGGCTTAAATCAAATAGTATTGATTTCTATGTCAGTTAGTTAGAGTCTATAATCTATTCATTTAGTCGAAAAGAAGGAGACATTGTTTATTTATAAATAGTATCTTATGATTTATCATATCTAACTTTGATAATGTAAACTGAACTAATCTGTCAAAATAAACAAAATGAAAGACAATACTAGTAGTTGATTAAATACGAATAATGTTTGAGCGCGTTTTGCTTTCTGAAACTAAGGAATTTGTTCATTGCTAATTTATCATTTGATTCATTTGTGTTTGGTTTTTTTTTATCGACTTAGTTTTGTTATTTTCTTGCTCTTTTTAATTTCTTTCATCTCAATCGATACACTCATGAGTGAAACATTCCGACAATACATTAAGATTCGTACTTTTTTGGGTTATCGACCGAAAGAAATTCTAGTTGAATTACAAAATGCGTTCGGTATGTGAAACACGATCTTGATTAAAAATGTTAGAAGAAGAAAAAGAAAAATTCCTTTTAGGCGACGAAGCACCTAATTATGCCAATATACAACGATGGTCAAAAAGATTTCGTGACGCTATTGATAGTCCAATAGGAAGTCCGCTTGCTTCACGATCCAATTTTGAAACACAAGACTATCAACAATTGGATGGAAATAATACTAGTGATGATAACGATGCTAGTCAAATGGAAAAACAAATTAATGCAAATGCAAAAAAGTCGGAATCAACACACAACACAGTAAAAAAAAGCAATTAAGACATAACAGTTTTGTTTCGTCCCTATTCATTATTTAGAATAGAACGAGTAATTCAAAACGATCAACAACAGCTCGTTCCAAATCACAACGTTTTATAAACGAATGAGGACAAATGATCAGTTTTGCGTGATGCCGAGTGTTGTTGTTCTGGTTCAATACTCTATTTTTTTTTCTTCTTTTCCTTATTCTTCTTATCTAATATAATTATATGCGCTTGGCTAGCGACGAAACAAAATTATTTAATAAAACAAACCCGTTGCACAGATAGATGAGAATATGATTCAAAAAGGATTTCGCCAGAATCATTGTTTGATTGACGAGTGCATAAGGCGTTCTTTTTTTAAATAAATCCTCAAAATTTGACATTATGTAACACCCGTTCGCTATTCTATGAAGTAATTTGTTCACGTATAATGGCGTCTAAGAAATGGAAAGCGATTGTATCATTTAGTATTGATTACTTTAACTATTCATTACAATCCCAAGTCGAATCGTTTTTATTACGAATAGATTGAATTGGTCGTCTTAGAAATCGTTATGCATTCTTTATTATGCACGGATTAAAATGGAAATATTTCATTCAATAATTGCAGTAGTTTATTGTATGCTATTCGTTGAGTTGCAAGAAACCTCATATTTGCGTGATGGCTAATAGCATATTTATTCGTGCCATTCGTATCTAAATGGGAATAAAATGATTTGATGAATACGCCGCACGCGGCGTCAATTATCAAGCGGTTAAAATTTAATAAATAGTTAATCTAAAAAGAGTACAGGAATCATTTCAATACTTTCATTCTCATGTTTGAATATATTATATGATTATATTCAAATTGCACAGACACTGTTAGAAGAATATTCGCCATAGTTTCGTAATTAGCTAGTAATTTGACACTCAACTTCCTCTTTCTTCTCATTGTGTAATGACGAACTCTGTGGATCTTCATTTGATATATTTAATCTTGTTTTATTTTTGCATTTGAAATACTATTTCTCACAGTACTATCTGAGCTATTCATTTTTTTTTCAACAGAACACCTGTTAAATTATGGCGCTCTTGTTATTTAAGTAGTTTTAATCAGAAAATAAAAGAGAATTTATAATACTCTAACTCTTACTATGTTCTTTCGGATGGCATAAAAATTTAACAGAAATTAAGTAGAATGAAGTTTGTTCGACATTTCCTGCAATATCTATGTATGATTTAAAAAAACATGAATTACGAACAAAACAAACTAATTTCAACTTAGTGCAAAAACAGACCACGAGAGAAATCATTAAACATTTTGTACAAAAAACAAACAAGGGTAACCGACCAAAAACAAAATCGTCTTATTTAGGAAAGCTCAGGCCTCAGGATATACCCCCGTGGATTTCCTTTGATCTCGACGATGGCTAAAAATCAACACTTCCTTTCAACGGGAGAAGATCTAATCGATTGACTTCCTTCATGCTCGTCATGAACTAAGACCAGAGATCCTTTATTTTGATCTATCACGTTCAACTAGTTATGTGTTTGAATATCCTGGATGATATTACTCAAATTTATTGTTAATGGATGCTTATATTTGTATTACTTTGCTTTTTCTTTTGCTGTCAAATACTAGATAATCTTTGCTGGTATCGCGCGCCTATTAAATTTCTTTTGCATAGAATCTTTTTCTGAAAGACACGGAGTGCGAATAAACTGATCTATCAAATTCAATTAAAATTTTATTGATAGATAAAACACATAAAAAGAGTTATTCATGTGAAATCTGTCATTTGAATTTATGGTAATTTGATTGAATTTACAAACTTGTCAAAAACAATGCCGCACGAGAATACAAAAAAAAAGATATATCAGTAAATATTTTCCTTCAGATCGATACGACGATGATGAGGATTGGCTGAATTCTCAAAATGTGAAAGTTTTAGCATTTTTTATCGATATGTAAGCCAAATTTTAGTTATGAAGCAATTTTGATGAGACTCAAAATTTCCTTTGAAGAAATCGAATTAATGATACAGATTTATAACCGTTTTTATTACTCAGAGCAACACATTTTCGGAAAAGTCGAATGGTAAAATGTTTGTCTACAGGTAAATGTTATAGTCCCACAAGTTTTTATCAAAAACAAATGTAAATTTCTCGAAATATCCGATATTCCATTAGATCGCATAAATCTGCGTTTCTATGGTTAACAACTGTGCGTTACTGAAAATAGAGGAAATCAACAAGTATCATCAAGCTGAATATTACAAGATGTACAAGGTCTACTGTCAAAAATACGGACTCTAGAGGATAGTATTCATTGAATAGATTTCCTCTCAGCAGACGACTGCATTCTCAATCTTCTAGCCAATCTTTATTCCAAAAGTAACCTATTCTTTCTATTTTCTTTGATATAAGCAAAGATCATCTGTTTTTCACATAATTCGAAAGCTGCCAACAAGATTTTTTCTTCTTCTGTCACTCAAGCATGGTAAAAGAAATTTTCCCTTGACAATATCATAGATTGTTTCGATAAAAGAATACTCAAAAGTCTATCGGTTAGAGTGCTTACGATTTCTTACGACAACTAGCGCAATTCGATTATGTTGGATAGCGTGATTCTCATTCATTGTCGTTGTTCTATTTCTTTCGTTCTATTCTATAGCTAAATTTTTATTTTATTTCAAGGTGAAAAGAGAAACAAACAAATACATTCAAATAGAACAATGGATATTGATGAAGTACAATATTTATCTGAAAATGAACTTATTTCTGTGGTGCCAAATTTTAAACATCCTGAAATTAATTTAATTCGTGGATCAGTTGGTCCATTTTTACCATTGATTCCATTACAAGTTCCTATGTGGATGGTTTGTTATTGTGTTTCTTTTTTATGATTAACAAATCTTTTCATGTTATTTATAGGCAATTCATCTTAAAGAAAGTCATCGTTGTCGATTTGTTTGTCCCGAATGGTTGACTCTCGATTCTGTGCAAGAATTACTTAAACAAGAACAACAACAAGCAACATTTACATCAATGCCAAATCCATACGTATTTATATTGTCTCAAACAATAATGAATGTTGCTCTAGAAGATGTTCCAAATGGTGATCAAATACGTTTATTAATGAAAGATTTATGGGATTTACGTTTAGCAAAATTACGTTCATCAATTGGAAATTTAGCACTCAGTGGTTCACTTTATGCTAAAGTAACACATTTAACACAAGTTGAAATATGTTTAATAAGAAATTTTCTTAAAACTTCATTGAAACATATTGCACAATTGCAAGATGTTGTACCAGAAGAATAAAGAAATAAATATCACTGTTATATTATCAAATTTTAAGTTTACATTTTTGTCTTGTCGATATGAGCCGACGCTCATTCATTTTTGTTAGCAAGTTAAACGTACTTAGCAGCAGTTATTTACAATCAGGTTGTTTCCAACGGTCCTAGCCTGATCTTATGAAATATCATAAAGATTTCATTTTTATTTTATTTTATTCAAGAGAATCATGTCAAATATAAAAAAGAATTTTGATTGATGAAATGTCTCGACGATCTACAAAAGATTTCGGAAAACAATTTCCACGACTTCCGTCATCGTGTTTGTTATTCAAGTCATTTTTTTCTTCATTACTCACTGTCGACACAGTGAAGTAGTCTTTATTTCAATGGAGGCTTTCGCTTCGTGTAAAACAATTGATCATGCGGTTAAAAACTTCAGTTCAAGATTGATATCTCGTAGGATATACGTATTCCATTTCACACAATATTGTTTCACAGAGAAATCCATAAGCTATGTCATTTATTTTACATGAATAACTTTTTAGAACCTTTTGAAATAGCTCACACAGTTTTAACAATCATGAAAAACTGTGCAGCTAGAGATTATCAGAATATTTTTGTTTTGTTTTGCACTGACATGATACAGTTCACATAAGACGACATCTTTTCGAAGTCTTTTATTGGCCATCAGGAAATATTTCCAACTAACGTAAGAGTGTGCAATACGACTAGACGTATTGAAAGAAAATTTCTTAACAAAATATGTCTATGTTTATTATGATTAAAAATTTCTATACACACTACATGTCAATGTTTGTTTAAAAAATTTAACAAAAAAAAATATATATATATATTTACATAGAATAAAATTGTAAGCAGTCTCTTGTATTAAGATTCATAATCACAAATACTATCCTTTATAAATACCTTCGAGAGAATAAATAGTACATGAAGTTTCTTCTTTCTTAATCACCGTAAATAAGTTGGAATGAATCATCGAATGAAAACAGGAAAATGAAAAATAGTTTTTTTTTATAACAAACAAACAATTGTTTTCGATAAATCCAGCGCATAATCATTCCACAATTGTGACTGTTCTTCTTTACAATGTTTTGGAAATGAAAAACGAAAGCCATAAGATTGATTCGCAATGGTTTGGCCTATATTTTCGTCAGTATCTTCCTCTTCCTCATCAGTATCAATATGATTTGAAAGAAGTGTCAAATTGATAAATGCATTAGCATGACCTAAACTTGCTGCTTGACGATAATAATCACATGCCTGAATTAACCCAACTCATAGTTGTATTTTTAAATTTAAATACAAAATAATTTACCTTCATCAGATCTTTTTCAATACCAATACCTTGTTCATAACAAATACCCAGATTATACAATGCTGCTGAATTTTTACCATCTTTCGCACTCATTTGAAGAGTTTCAATACCCAGCGATACGTTTCCCTCTTCAAACGCTTCCATAGCTAATTCATTATTTACAATTGATATTGTTTCTTTATTTAATTCAGCAAGACTTTTTAGACAATTTTCATCTGTTTGAAGCGATGAATTAAGAGTTTCTTCTTTTTGATTCGAAGAAGTTGTTTGAGCTTGTTTGCCAGTACATTCAACTTTAGACAGTTGAATAGGTTTAATGGCATTGAGTTTTAGTATCAACTAAAATTTTCAAAATAAAAAAAATGTTTTGTTTTTCATTTGCAAACCTGTTGAAGTGAATTCTTATAAAGAGATTTTTGTAATTTTTCAAAATTTTCAAATGCATATCGAGTTGTTTTTACAATACAATCAAAATCATGTTTATGTTTAATTAAATTTTCTTGCTTTCTGAAACAAACAAAACTTGTTTGTTTTGTCAAATTAAATTTAAAAAACTATAATTACTCTGTTCGAATTGATTCGTCATCATCGTCATCTTCTTTATGAACAGCTGCTGTGGGAACAACAATATCTTCTGAATAGCGATGAGTAGCAGTATTTCGAAAAGCACGATAGAAACAATTCGCTAGACGCCACATGATGCGCTTACAAAATATTATTCATTACTTTTGATGGATGAACCATTTTTATAAGAAACGGCAATCCATTATTTATGTCATAAATCTGAAAATAAAATAATAGTGAATCAGCGTAACGATTTTTTAAATTTCTATAGATTAGCAACTCCAGCAACTGAGATGATTTTATATTTTAATATATTTCTTATCAGGAAAAAATATTAAGTAGGTCACGATTCGTTTTTGCATGCAAAAATTTCTCTAAAAGAACTTAATTTTAACCTGAAATATGACATGGTTGATATCATATCTATGAATAAGAATGATTTCTAAAACTATGGAATCATTGCGTATAGACTATGCTGACTGACGACAAGGCTCGTAGAAAGATCAAAGTCCTGGATAGAATCGTAGCTATGATATCTTGAGTAAATGGTAACATAAACGAGTAATCTCTTTAACTTTTCTAATATACCAGCTCGGTAGTGTAGACCACATTATATAGTCGACAGCTTGGGGTGTGTCTTGTGACATTTGGGTAAGTACAGGGTAAAAATATAATGTCGAAATAGCTATTTCTAATGTATTTGTACAATAAACTACGCGGCTGCACACGTCATCTCTTCACTGTTGCTTTGCTAACAATGCCTTTTTTTTTTCTTTCTTTCCTTCTATGGATTGGTACACAGAAACGAAAAGCAAAAAAGAAATTACAGGTTCTACCCAGATTTGAACTGGGGTCGCTGGATTCAAAGTCCAAAGTGCTAACCGCTACACCATAGAACCACGGTATATGATATTCGAGTTATTCTTTTCATCATGCCTAAAATAACATATTTATCGAACACATATAAATATACCTGTAATGAATACTAAATGGCAATATCGAAATTTATATACATTATTTTTCAAGTATTCAATTTTTTCAGTGTTCATAACAAATACTATATTACTACCAATGAGATAGTTAAATGAAAAAGAAATTCTGTAATACAAATTTGAACAAAAGTGATCGATATAAGATTGATTGAACAAAGTTTACGGTATTATTTTACATTAACATGAATAGCACAACATGACGTCCATTCAACAATGAACTTACATATCGAACATCTTCTCGGGTAGCTTTCAATATCGTGTGAATATTGAAAAATTTTCACTTATGTTGAAGATCATCGAAATGAAATCAGAAGTTACAAGATATTTTTTCGTATTTTTTTAATTTAATTCTACAGTTCTTATAAAGAACGCCATATGACGAACTACCGCAAGAGATGTACAGATTAGATTAATATATAGAGAGAATATATATTATACTCTCAGCTATATGTAGAAAACTGATTGCCAATAGATGTCACTTAAAATAAATTTAAACTAAAAGTTTGAAAATTTTAAAAATTAATAATTCTCATAAAATAAAATTCAATTTTACTAAATTGAATTCAAATTCCAACTGATTAATGAATTTTCATTGGATACTATGAATTCTTTTCTTTTTTTTTAAAATAAAATCAGCTGTTCTTCCCTCAGTGTTTTTTGTTTGTTGTGGATACTTGCACAAAGATTTTTTTTCTTTTTCTTCTCCTTGATTTTTTTAAATGTTCGAATAAGAAAGAAAAAAGAAAAATGTTATTTCTATGTTGTCATTCTTGACATAATATGCCAAGGTTTTCTTCATTGTAAAAATACAAAACAAATTTTTTTCTATGCCTCATTTTTCTTCTTTTTTTTTTGATTGAACTATGTTATCACCTTTGCAAACATCTTCAGCTATGGTACAATTTTTATTTTAACTGATCTTATATTCATTGGAAACAAGTTTCACTGAAAATTTAGATGGATGATCGAACTCTACGAGCTTACTTACGTAATAACTCAGCATGGAATTTAGATGAAAGTGCACCAGGACCACCGCCACCTCTACCACCAATGGATCATTTTAATGGTGCATCGTTCGGTAATGGTGATAAATTACTAAATAGTAGTGTTCATTTTCCGGCAGAAATGAGGTATGAAAACAAAATAACTTGCTCGTTCGTATGCCAATAAGAAATTGCTATTTTTTTTAGATCAGCAAATCTTAACGAAATGGTATCAAGTATAATTGATGAAAATCCTGAATATCGTCAGAATGGAATGATGTCAACATTTTCTCAATATCCATCGATGATGATGCCAACAACATGGTCAAATGGTGAACAACCGAATCAACATATGCATTATATGCAGCAAGTCAAACAGTAAGTTAAAAGAAAACAAGTCTTCATATTATTTCGAGAATATTTCTCGATATCATAGCAAGATAGATTAGGGCCTTCGTTTATTATATGAATATGAAAAGGCAGATTTCGTGATAGTACATATGATGTATTCATTATTGTATGAAAGTAGTTTCGTTGTTTTCTTTTCATCATAAAACATATAGATTGTTGACTGTTCAAATGTAAAGCCAAAGCAGTTTAAAGAACACGATATGTAATAAGATGATTGCTAGTCTCAAATAGAACGATTTCTATTGCTCGCATGCCTGCTATAATTTGTTTTAATACAACCTAAAATTTGGTTGGCCGTCATAATATCGAAAGGAAAATGTCGAAAAAATTATATTGACATGAAACATTGCCAGTTAATATTTTAGAGAATTGTAAATAGTATAGTGCATGTTTTATTGTATGAAATTAAGTTGAAATGTTAGCACGGAGAAAAATATAAAAAAGAATTAAGAAAAATATTTTATTTTTCCATGAACTTCACGAACCTCAAGTTTTTCTTTTTCTGGAAGATGATTGTGATCGCCAACAGTTTTTATCAATCGATTATTTGAATCAATATGCACTTTAGCTGCACAACCATTAATATTGCATATCCAATACTTAGTAGTTGTCGTTGCTTTATTCAATTTAAAAGTATATTCATCGGCAACTAGTAGTATAAATAAAATAGCTGGAGATTTTGTTTGGATTTCACCAGTTAAAATTACGAAAACTTCAGCAATGACAATACAATTTTAGCTGTATAATAATTCTTTGTTCAATTCTTTTATTTTACTTGTATCAATAGTTAGTCATCCCTATCAATACTGACTAAAATTCTACACTAGTAAAATTATCAGGAAAAACAATGAACTATGTGTGATTAGAATCGCTATATACTGGAGACATCATTATTTTTTTATTTTTCCACTTTAAAATGTACGTTTCGACATTTTTCCAGCGCATCTAAAATTTGAATGAGTTCAATTTTTTTAAAATAATCTTCTTTCATTCGTTTTGACGAACAGGAACCGAATGAATATATAGGAAATCATACCTCAGTCTACTGACGGAATTCAGCAAATTTAAGTACATAGTAAATTATGAAACGAATTTGATCTATTCGTAACCGCTTAGGAAAACTAAATGAAATGAACAACAAGCATGAAATAAACGAACCTGAAACTGTAGTAAATAGAAAGAAACAAACTTGTGAAGAAAACGCCATCTCTTTTAGTAGGACTAATTTCGATCTTGAAACACGTGTTTTTTCCTTACATAATTCAAAATAGCATAACAACTAATGATTTTATTTAGTATTCCTCCTCGACAACCAAAATTTGCTACTGCAACTATATCTGAAAGTGGCTATCCACGTAATATTCCAGGTAAGATCTTCAGAAAAGAAAACAATCGATTTATTATTCAAACATTGATTTTCATAGATGTATGTTCAATCCGTCCAAATCCTCCAAAAGATCTTCAAGTTCTAGTTCGTAAAGGTGATCATACTGGTATCAATTCTCTTATAACAAATATGTCATTACAACAATTTCGTCAGATGATCGGTTTGCAATCTAGTGCAAGTTTAACAATAAATGATCGACGAATTTCATCATCAGTACATCCATCGGATAATCGACGTCCTTATTCATCAATAAATAATAATCCTACTCAACCTTTATCTTCGTCATCGTCAAGTTCCTCGTCGTCAATACCATCATTAAATCCTCGTCTTGCCAATGCTTTTAAACAACGATCACAAGATACAATATTACAACAAAATTATCCGTCGTTTCCTAATAATGATCGACAACAACATTCTCCTATGCAACCTATTTCTTCTCGTAGGTCTTCGCATTTAATCTTATTCAAAAACAAAAACAAATAGAAATTGTTTTTTAAATTTAGACGACACAATATCAATGAATTTTACTGGTGCTAATGGAACATCAACAATAAATGACACTAATTTAACATCACCTGCAACAACATATCAAGACATTAGGTAGGAAAGTGCAATTAATCTTATCAGTTGTACTAGCGCGATATTTTATTTAGCTATTTTCGATCTAACAGGTACTTAATATTTTCCTTCTTGTCTTTGTTTTTGACCTTCAATCATCGCACATATTCAAATCTAATAATAATATTTTATATTATCTTCTTCTATTCTATACACAAGTGTTTTAATTCACTTGCTTTTCTCTCTCTCTTTCTCTCTTATATTCATTTGATATATTCTAATTTTATTTTCCTATTTTTAGACGAACGGGTGTTGCAAATACATTACGTAAGTTTTTTTTCCATTTTATAATACTTTATACTATTTGAATTTTGTTTTTTCTAGATATTGCGATTGAAAAATGTTATGAACAATTGAATTACATTCGAGATAGTTATACAGAAGTAAGTATTCGAGAATAGTTTAACGCTAAAAGTTGAGGATCTATATAAGTATATGTTAAACTTGATATTTGACTTCAGATTGGATCAGTTATTAAGATTATTTTTCAATTATGCCTGATCTTGTATGACTAATGGTCATAGAAGCAACTGAAAATATCAAATATTATTTTTCTTATCTGTAGATATAATTATAAGCATAGGAAAATACAGTTTTCGAAATAGAAAATTAATTAGATTGACTATTTATCGTGGGTTAACTAAGAAAGTGTTCTAACTAAACGATAATTTTTTTTCCTATTTGAAGTCCGTATGACTTTACGTAGTTCATTATGCTTATTCAAAAAGTTTCGATGAATTCTATCTGTGAACAATCGAATGCACATAAGAAAAATGTTGCTTTTTGCTTCACAGATTTTTCATTGGCTAAGCTATCAAACAGCAAAATACGTCATGTAGTAACTACAAATATTTGTCTAGTATCTGTTCTCGTCTTCTCTTCAAATATTCTCTAATGATTTAAATAAATAGGATATAGAATCAATAGGAAAAGAAATATAAATATGAATTTTAGACTAAAACAAAATCGAAATAGAGCGATCCATAACTATGATATAAATTTCGAAGTTACTATTTCAATAGATAGATGCATAACTCACGGAATAGTTTACTACTTCCAAGACAATTGATTATGCGTAGAGGATCGATATGACAATCCGATAAAAACAAATAAAAGTATCAATATATTGAGAATCAATTTAACGTAGTTTGTAAAACATCGTATTTCATGATGTGAAAAAAGTATTATCCAGTAATACATGAGATTAGAAAATAGAATTCATCGAACATATATATTTCTTTAGACGGAATCAAAAATCGGTATTCAAACATTGCATAAATCTGCTTCGACATCATTAATAAATGATATAGCCACTTCGAATTTTTCAACGTTATCAAATAATCCATCACGTGTTGATCGATTAATTGCTGAATATAATTATGAATATATTCGAGTATGTTGATTTGAAAATTTTATTTTAGATAATTTCAAAAATAATTTATTTCATTAATAAATAGATCCTTCGTTTACATGAACGTGTTAAAGAAACTGTAAATATGCATGATACAGAAGCAACACGACAGACGCTTGATGAATGGCTTATTACTATTAATAATGTGCAAGATCGTCGGCGACAAGAAATAGATAATGCAGCTGAAAAATGTCGTTCAGGTGAACCACGGCTACCCGATGAAAAAGGTTAATCTATTTATTGATATTTTTAAAATTTTTAATAAATACAAATTTTTCAGATGTTCTACAATTAGCCGAAGCGTTGCGCATATTGCGTATAACAACAAGAAAGATTCGAACTGTTCTTTGGTATTGGTTATACTGGTCAACAAATTCTACAGCAAATAAAATTCCATTGATTGCGCGTCATCAAGATGAACAATTAAATACAGCAGAATTTCATTCAATGAATCAAGTATTTATTAAATTGTGTTTTTTTTGTGTATTCGAACGGAAGGTTGAATTTAAATTTTTTTCTTAGAATGATCAACATTCAAATTTTTATCTATTTTATCCTTCAACTAAGAATGACGATGAATCGAAAGCTACACTTGAATCTGATGAACAACAGCGAAAACTTTTATTGAAAAATTCAATATCATCAAATGATAATAATAAAGAAAATGAATGTAACAAATAATTTTTATTTTTCTCGTTGTCCATAATATGTAATATGATAATCTCGAGAGCATTTTTTTTTGCCGTTTGATTTAACCCGTCCATATAGATATGCATTTTTTGTGACAAACAAAGCTTGATGTTCTCATTGTTTTCGTTCTTTCTTATTTTTTCTTCTTATGCCGGTAGTTTGTACATACATGAGAATTGTTCATTGGCTTCTTGTGATAGGAACAGTTGAAAATGCTGTCGTATTAATTTGTTGCTGTTGTTGTTATTGCACTTCTCACTAGTCGTTTCTTTTTTCTGTTTTATTTCTTGTATTCAAAAAATGAGAAAAAGAAAAAAGAATGACAACGCGTCCGGTGACGTATGTTTGTTAATTGAGTTTTCTCTCTCTCTCTCTCTCTCTCTCTCTCAATCTTTATTTGTTAGCTTTTTCTGTTTGTTTACTTATTCTTTACTTAGTTCTATGTGTGTGTCTAGAAAATAAAAACTATATTGATAATTGGGATATATTAAACCATTAAGAATAAAATGATGACTGATAGCGTATTCTTCTAGCTGATTTGAAAATAGATACAATATGATTTATCTGTTTTAACTGCTAAAATACATTATGTTTTTATTAAAGCATTTAGTAAAAACTCGAAACCATCTGGTTAGATTCTCGAGATTACAATCATATAGAAGACACGTATGTGTAATATTCACAGGATAGTAAGAATTAAGAAACATTAGTTGTCATGTCGATTTCCAGTGCGAGTGGAATTTATTTATTTCTTGTTGTATTATTTTCGATTGTCAATGGCAATTTGGCTAGAGGTGTGAATGGTGGTGTCGATTGTGCTAGTTGTACAATTGTTGTGGGTGTCATTGAACATCTCTCAATTTTATACAACGAAACTATTGTCGCATCACTCGAACGCTTCTGTAACTATTTACCTAGTGATATTAAAACCTATTGCAAAGTTGCTGTTGACTATTTGGGTAAGTCTCTATTATGAATAAATACATGAAGTACAAACAAAACTCATATAGGCCCAATTATTGTCGAGGGCTTTCTGAAAAATGAAACGCCTGATATCATTTGTCATTCAATTACACTTTGTCGAGACGACCCAGGTCAGGCTAAATGTCGTTTATTTCAATCAAAATCATTATCAAATCTTTCTCACTCGCAAAGAAGAGCGAATTTAAGACAACATTATCCGCAGCTACCTTCTCTATTGACTTCGAAAGCATGTGATCTTCCGGGTATCAAAGAAATTTGTAAAATTTTTGAAGAAGTTTTTAATAATCACATGCCTCTTGTTGACATTGACGGTGATAGATTTGGCACTGAAGAATCGTTTCGTGGTTCTGCGTGGCGTGGTAAAGATTGCGATGATTTTTCATCGAAAATTCGGCCAGGTGCACGCTCAGTCATGGGTGATTATGCTATTGATCATAATTGTAATGGTATTTACGGTATGGATTCTTCAACTAACAAACCTTGGGAGGAAGAATTTTGTAATGATACTCAACGTTTGGGGATGGCTGTTTTGGGAGATTCAGTTTCCGCTCACTTTCATATACCTGAACAGTGGCTTGATGCTCGACAATTATCTGTTGGCGTATTCGAACATTTAGTGTATATCATTGGAAATGAGCTCGATTGGCCTCAATTATCCGGTACTACAGGTCATATTAATAATAGTTGGCCAAATATTGAAGGTAACCTCAACACTATAAAAAGATCATGAAGTGTCTATTTGTATTGCTTAGGTTCAACTCGATCGTTATATGCGCGTCTATTTGAACTTGATCATTGTAATCATCGAGACTATCAAAATATAGCAGTCAATGGGGCGAATAGTAAATCCATTCTTGATATTGTCAAAACACTGACACGTGATCAAAAAAATGACGTACCTCTTCTCGTTATCTATTCACTGGTTGGCAATGACGTTTGTAATGGTCACAATGACACAGTTGCACGCATGACTACTTATGAAGAGATGTACAATCGTACATTGGCTGGACTTGCTTATCTTGATACTGTGCTTCCCATAGGCAGTCACGTACTAACAACTGGTCTTGCCAATGGAAGTATTTTATATGAGCTATTGCATGATCGTATACACCCACTTGGTCGAGTTGGTCCACCAATAACCTATTCAAAAGTCTATTCATATCTTGAATGTCTAGAAATTTCGCCATGCAATGGTTGGTTGTCATCCAATGAGACACTACGGGCTTTTACTTCAGAACGTGCCGTTAATCTATCTATTGCTGTACATGATGCTACTGATGCTTACTCGTCTAAGAACTTTGATAGTGGATATTTAGATTTTCCCTTTGATCAAGCCATTCAAGAATGGATATCACAAGGTGGTGAACCATGGCAATTGATCGAAAGTGTTGATGGATTTCATATTAGTCAATATGGACATGCAATAACATCTGATGTTATTTGGTCATGGTTACAATCAAATAAACCTCATTGGTTACCTCCGGTTAATCCACATAATACCGATATTGAGCGAGTCTTTAAAGATCAGGGTGGATATTAAGCCTTCATTGGATATTTTTGTGATTTTCTTTTCTTTAAAGAAATATTCATTATGAATAGATATGAATCATATCCTTGATACAACATGAGAAGATGAAGATAAATTTCGCACAAAAAAATACTTCTTCAGAATAAATAAATTTTTTATTTTGTTTGTTCTGTACAGTATGATAACAGTCACTAACTGCTTTAATATTACCCCGTGTAAATAAAATATGTACGATACTGGATTTTCAAATATCATTATCAATCTAGTAGGATGTTGGTGTCAATCTTTTCTTAATCTATACTCAAGCACAAATTCAAACTGAATAGTTTCTTTTTTCAAAATTGATTTTTTTTTATTATACATCAGAGAAAGGAATATTTTTGTGACGACCTATAAGAGATAGTGTTTTTCAAAATATTAATATCATCTTTTCAAATTGGTAATAATTTTCTTTTTGTAGTTCATTAAATTTTCTTGGATATGAATTTAAACCAGTGCAAACATTAAAAATTCAAAAATGATTATTAATCATTTAATAATAATGAACTTTCCAATGTTTTATTTCATCATATAGAGAAAAAAAACAAAAAAAACTCAAACGTTTCTTTTATGAATTATCCTTGGGCCATTTTTTAAATATTCTGCTCCTGTGATGGAAAGCTCTTTGATGAATGATGATCTAGCAGCTTTACCGGTACTAACACATGATAAATATTGTGTTTATGGTTGTCTGTTAGTTTTTATTGAAAATGGCCCTTTATTGAGTAATTTGAGTTCTTGTAGCGTCCGTGTTTGAATCTTCTCAAAATTTACAATACGGAATCATTTACGGTAGCGTAATACTGTACCCGATGCTTCCGGGTCCTTTACGGCTTCGAACGACATGTAAACAGTCATATTTGATAAAGTTAAAACTAAAATACGGATAGCTGTATCCATCGCTCTAGGTTATTATAAATTTGTTGCAGTATATCAATATCACATCGATTAGTTTGTTTAAAAATCAATTGATGAAGCACTCACAAAAATGGTATGGTGGTAAATCAGCGAAAAACGTTTTTGGCGAAAAATTTTGAGCGAAAAGTTTTTGAGCGAATTGTGAAGGGTAAAACAGAGAAGTGTAAAATAGAGAAATCTTCAGTTTAACTTAACATGAAAAATAATGTTTTTTTTTGAATTTAAAAGAAATGTAATACATGAGCATCAAATGATATTAAAAACTACCGATTTAGAAATAAAGTATTTGAAGGGTGTGCGCGGGTGTGGGCAAATGTTGATGTTGCCCATTAGCTTTAACGAATTGATCACTTGCATTGGTATGAACATTCGCTGCACAGCTATTTGATTGACAAACTCAGTACTTAACAGTTTTTTTGGACTTTTTTAGTCGATAAACATATCCTCAATAAATAAGCATTCGTTTCCCTCGATTTGAAATGGTAAAAGAGAGTATTGTCGGGTCAGTCATCACTGGCGAGTGAAATGGACTAAATGAATGAACTATGTAACATCAATTACGGACGATTATATATATCAAAAAAAAAAGAATATAATAGATTAACACGTTGAGAAGAGTGAAACGGACAAGTGCGGTCATATATGCAGACACATCAGCATGATGACTCATCGTCAAACAAACAATCGAATTTTATCAAGAAAAGATTTCTGTAATTTCTACAGTCGCTCTTATTGCTAATAAAAAAACTTCGGGTTTTCGCTATTTTACTTTTCGCAGTTTTTACTTTCGTGCTTTTTTTTTCGCTGAAAATACCTTTCGCTATTATAATTTTCGCTCAATCGACACCATATCACAAAAATAAATCAAGATTTAAATCAATCATAAAAACTCATCATCTTTATATACCTATTTTTCAGGTTGGAACAGAGTTGCGGCACATTAGATATTGCTCAAGTTCAACACAATACGCTTTTCAATTAGACGAATGATATTTTCGAACAAGTGCTGCCGAAAATTTTTCATTTTCATTAGGAATCACCTGGAACATCTTACAAGCATATTCTTTTATATGTTGAATATATTTTGTTTTTCTAACCTAAATGTAATTAATTGCATCACCATTTTCTCACATTAACTTTATAAGATATTCTGTCAAATGGCGGACCACGAAAATCAATATTTTCAGTTGCATAAAGTAATCCACAATCTACAAATAAGTATAGATTAAATAAGGTAAAAACTGGAAGAACTAGTCTCTATAAACTGATGTTGAACGTGTAGCTGCATATCCACAATCGGGAACAATATCAGTAAAAGTATTTGTTGCTTGTAAAACTAATTCAGTCTAATTTTTAAGAAAAATTTCTAAACAACCATTGTTATTGTTTATTAGAAATTTTTGAATATTCATTCTTATCGGGTACTTCAAATTTTTCAACAAACAACTCAAATATTTTTTTCCCTACTCGATGTCGGATTCGTTGGTGAATCACAAATAGTCACTAAATTTTCACTCGATAAACATTTTTACACATCAAATATATAGTTATATAATTGTTTCAGCGCTTCAAAATTTTTCACTTGATAGCCTTCAATGGGCCGAATCATTTCTAACACTGAAGTTATAAAATCAACAAATTTCTATGATAAAACTATTAGAAATACTCACTTATATCATCATAAACACTGTCACCAAAATGTAGCCCCCCATTGAAGCGTCTTGTAAGCAAGATCACGAAATTTTTGGGTTGGTTTTCTACATCTATTGACCGTATTTTATATATCTGTACCGACAATATCTTATAGTTTAGTCTTTATTTGTTTCCTAAAATATGTCCAATGAACAGTGTATGAACGTCTACTCTTCATAAAAACAGTACAACAGAAAAAAGAACTACACGAGTATCCGGAACGTTACAGTTTTACACAGATTTATAAATTTAAAATTATAAAATATGAAATTTTACAGGAATTGAGGCGACGTAAAGGCTGCAATTAGAAGCTAATGTTTTCCTATATTCTAACAAATGTTGGTGTTTACTGTTTCCATAAAGATTAAACGTCATATTTTCAATTGCTCTTCTTATGGATCGTCATTATCGGTTGTTAGAGAAAATATAAGAGCTGTTACTAACGAAGTTATCATTAAAAATCGATTCTTATTTAACGACATCTTATTCGAATCGTAATTGAAAATCTATGATTTTGTATGTAAGACACTTTCATAGATTAGATTGGACCGTAATAATTATCAATAAATCTAGAAACGAAAGAGTTTTAGCATTTCTGACGTTTAAATGCATAGAACATTCCTAACGAAAATAAACTTGCCATAATATTTACTTAAATAAAGAACAGTTCCATGAAACTAAAACATAAAACTGGTGTATTATAGCATTTTTTGAAAGGATCTTACTTTTTTGTACAATCTGAATCATAAAAGATCCAGTACCATAGCCTATTTTGACCAGATAATTAATACACAAGAATAAACGAGAAAAGAAATGAAGAAAATTTCTTAATTTTTTTTTGAAAGTCAAAAAAACTTTTATATATTTATATGACTTTCATCACTCTTCTATAAAGCAGCAAAAAATGTTACGTGCACGTGCTTCCTGGATAATAAAATGGAAGCAAGAAGTAATAATTTAACTAAAAAAATATAAATCCAACAATCAATATTGTGAAAGGGCAAATTTTAATATTATTTTTCAATAAATAAAGCGGAAATGTAATGACAAAATTGGGTGGATGTTTTCGAAAAAGTTTAACAAAAATATAGATAAAACATCGATTCCAAAAAAAGTCATTCTTCCACTTACTTTTTTCATCTTTTTTTTAGTGATCTACCCGATTTCATGCCTATTCTTAGTAATTAATCTAGTGGGAAACTGTAAAATATGTATTTTTGTATATGTATAGAACTCTATCTGTCACTAAAAGTTTATTTTTAATTAATAACTATGTGGAAAAACAGATTGTGCAATGGTACAAGCTTCTTCAAAGCATAGGCGGCGGAACCTGTAGGCTCACGAGACTTGAGCCCACCCTAGTTTGGAATAGAGTAGGGTTGAGTAGGCTCAAACAAGAACAGTTAAAGATTTGGATACACTCAATTATATATTAGTCATTCATTATTGTTTAGTTTTCACGTATGACTTACAGTGCCAGTAACATACGACGTATTGTTGCAAAGTTAGCTCGTATTTTCTTTATCACCAATACGAACGGGAATTCGATAAGATATTCATTGGGCTTTATAAAATTTAAATCTACTAAGAAATCAACATTGAAAAAAAAGTAGCGAAAGCTGATTCTTGATCAGCTATCCAAGGATGCCTTGATCGAAGGGTGACTCGGATGAAACACCCCCAATATTCGAAAAATTGTCTTGCATTGTATTTCACAAAATGAAATTTACACTACCTTAAGCATGATTTTATCAGTTACCGTCATTGATGCCGGATGTTAAAGTCAAAAATCCCAAATTTATATCTGAAAATTCTGAAAAATTCAAAATAATCCAGAAAAATTGCGAAAACATTGAGGAAAACAATAGAAAACGAGAAAAAAAGCGGAAAAAGCCTGAAAGAGTGAGAAAAATCCCGAAGAAATTCGAAAAAAATCCGGGGAATCCGGAAAAGTTTTCGAAATCAGGTGGATCCGGTAACACAGGCCACTCTCGCTTAAAATTTTTGGATTCTCACGACATCCTTGAGCATAGCACCCTGAAGAAATTTTTTTTTACACCACTCTCTCCCAAAGTTGGAATGGTCATGGCAGTCCTGTCGCTTCCCTATCTCATTTAGCTAGAAAATTGAGCCTACCCTAGAGGGAAATCGTTCCGCCGCATATGCTTCAAAGAATTCATCTGCAAACATATTACGTGTTGGCACGGCTATTAGAGTGAAGTTTTGTAAATCACTTCCAAATTAACTGCCTGTAAGATTAAACCTTTTATTTAGAATTGTTTTCAATAAAGTTCTTAGCAAAAATGATAGTATTTTACTGAGCTTTTCTAATTCAAAATTACCTAGCATTTAAATCGTAGGTCTCTATAAATAATTAAAGCATAGCATCAATATTTTACAAAGAAACATTAATCGAACAACAGAAAGACCTAAGCTAAAAATGACATAATGTAGGAGAAATATAAATATCAATCTTGAAATTTAATTCATAACGAACAAAAAAAATAATTATACAGGTTTTAATTTCAGATTTATGATGTTAAATGCTCGTTATGTTGTTACTGGTTTATGCTGATGTGTTTTTCTAGTCACATAATTGTATCCGCATGTTTTCGTTTTTGTTCTTACCATCAAGTTTCGTTTTATTTTAGTTGAAAATGGCCGTGTAATGGCCGAAAATTTTCCCATTTATTGCCAAATAAACATTTTCTACATTTTTATTTCTCACTATAAATATCACATATTTATTTTTCATTTATCGAAGCTCTTCAGAACTTCATTCATCATTTTTTAATAATCTTGACAACCTGTCTTTTCAGCTTTAATGTCAACTATTTTTTTATTCACTGATACGACTTGAACATTGTACTTCTGTGCTTTCCTTTAATATTCACCGTTGATTTCCAGCGGGTCATCCGTCCGCTAAAGCAGTCTCGTCGATCTTCTTAAGAAAACGACTCGATCATTAAATTGTTCACCAATAGGTCAAAATTAGTGCTTGAATATTTGCATTACTTTCTTCATATAAGGTTTTCCTTTTATCTTTCCATTCCTATCCAATTGCTGAGTACATTATTGGGTCACACATATAACGAGTGGCTCATGAAAATTACGAGAGAGAGAGAGAGAGAGTACTTAGCAATAACTTATGATTTGAAAGACTGCAACAAGTACTGAAAGCTTTTATAAACGAATCATTCCACTAGAGGTGGTCTTCTATTTGTATACAAACTTTAAGCTCGCTGCGACACACTGTCAAGCATTATGTATAAGTCTAATATGTGATCAATGGAAGACTACAGGACGGGCTAACACCAACAAGCAGGAAACGAAGCGAAAAACAAAGGAAATCTGAACGCTGAAAAACATGATGACGATGATCTGTGTGATTTTCCCCTAGTGAAAATACTCGTCCAGCGAGTACGCCTTTCCAAAATTTTATGTGTAACTAATACTTCTTGTGTACTACGACGAGGTCTCAAATGACTTTTCTCTCTAAGAATCTCGTAAACGACCCAGTGAAAAATATACGCTGATTTCAATCAAATTATTGTGCAACAAAATGCAATCCGCAATCGGATTGATACTTAGAATTGTGCTACAGAACAATCAGAATTCAATCAAACAAATTTCCACTGGGCTAGCAATAATGTCAAGGTTGGGTCAAATGGTGATCGATTATAATCAAAATTATCAATCCGATTGCGGATCGGATTTTGTTGCGCAATAATTTGATTGAAATCAACGAATATTTTTCACTGGGGAAAATACGAGTAATCGAGTTAGTATTCAACGTCGTTTTAGGAATACATTCAGCAACACATGATCTGTGCGCTACAATGCATGAAAATAAAACAATAGTGCGTAATTAAGAATAACTATATAGTTAAAGGAAAATTAGGAAATAAGTTTTTTGGACAAATTATCTATTTTATCTTCTATTTTGCCTCATGAGTCACTAATATGGCTCAATGAATGAGTTATTTAAAACAAAATTCATTTCAACTATTGATTTCTTGAGTAAGACTAAATATTTATTTGAAAATATAAAACTATTTGTTAAATTTCATATCTAGACTCAAAGAAGCAATATCGTTTTCCACAAAATATATTCTTTCCTGAAAAATAATTGCAACAAAAGATGAGTGACAAATCTTTTACAAATCATAAAATTCAATATTCTGAAGAAACATCTAGCATTCAAACGACACTTTATGCATTTTTTATTCCTTGCTCAATGAATATAGTTTTCAATTTAAGTTGTTCGACTTTTTTTCTACTTATCGAAAGTAGAGGTGTCGATTTACAGTTTATTTTATTTGAGTTTAACATTAATTTAATTTTTGAATCGAAAAATAATTTTTATTTAATTTTTTATATTTTGAATTTAAAAAATTTCTTGGATGGAAATTCATCGTTATCAGAAAAATCCATGAGTTTTACAGTAGTACATACTAATAAGCAGAGAAACTACTGTTTTAGGTTGGCTTTTGTTCATATCAATGAAGGTTTCTTTAGAGATTATGCATGTTTTGCTATCTGTCTTCTGCCAAATGCACAAGCATACTTATAAACATATAATTATTAGCACAATTAGTAGAGGAATGACAAGCTTTAACTTTAGAGAAGAAGAAATATATTAAAATTTTACTTGAAATATTAACAATAAAATCAAAAACTATGTGAATCTGCTAATTTAATCAATGATTTATTTCTTATATGTGTTTCTGTTAACAGATTTTTGTTCGCTTTTTCTTACATTCTGTGAAGAAGCGTTTTATCTCTAAGTCATAATTTAAAAAAATTAAAGATGATGAAACACTTATTTTCTCAAATTCTTATTATATACGTCACTGCTATGTGATCCGTTTTTAAACTCAATAAATTAAGCGTAGCAGAAAATGCTGAACAAGCATACGTCTGTGAGTATTTCACAAAAATCCACTAGAGTACGCAAAAAGCACTCGAGTTCAAGGGTGAATATTCATGGCATTTTCTAGTGTGAGCACTATTTCAATGCTCACTGGCCAAGTGCATTCACTATCCGTAAATCAACGATTTGTTATTTTCGAAATGCTCTTTTACACAGTCAAAATCACTTATGGATGAACCTTCTTTCAAGTACTTTTCATACTTTTTGACAAAAAAGTACTATTAAGTACAAGTACTTTATAGGTTTTGTAGTACTAATTGAAAAAAACTGACTGAATAGCATCTTAAAAACTATAAAGTACTTGTAATATTAATATTGAACAAAAATAATTCTTAGTACTATTTTTCATTTTTTCTAGTGAATTTTATTACTTTTTTTAAACATTCACTTGTACTTAGCAGGGCTGTATCGTCATCGATATGAATAGTACTTAGCAAAGGTTCTCGTATAATTAATTTTAAGCGTGTAAAAAAAGACTTTCAAGTGTACTTAAGCTTAAGCGCTGATCTTTGACTACTTCTCTTTTACATGGGTAGACTGATTCATTTAATATCATGAATCTATGGCGGATTTTAAATGATTGATGATCTATCACGTTTTATTTCTACATAGTATATGTGCAATAAAAGAAAAAACACAACACTCAATAAATTTTTGTTTCGGTCACGCCCAAAAAGTATCATTTTTTTTCATATTTAAGCATTTCACGCAGTGAACAATTATCCAGAAGCTGTCTTTATATATAAATGGTCAAATAGTATGGCTTTAGATTCTCAAATTTTAAATTTCATAGTCGACAAATGACCACGTAGAGAATTTTCTGCCTAATACATCAAGGAAAAGCAATAAAATATAAATCATGAATTCGTGATTGAAACTAACATTTTAAAAGTTTTAATTTCTGACAGAATTAGATGTATAGCTAAGAGTTGAGGATTCCCAATTATCCACTTTATTGAGATATTCGCATGACCAAGATAGCAAGTATACCCATGGAAATCTAATGATAAAGTTATTGAAAAAACTTCTTTGAACACTGGAGGGTATTGCTAGTGGGTGTCGCTCTTTTATTCCCGCATATCTACATCCACTATCACAGCAACATCTACAATCTCAAGATGATCTTGTTGGCTCACCGATAGCCTCTTCAAAAGTCTATTCATATCTTGAATGTCTAGAAATTTCGCCATGCAATGGTTGGTTGTCATCCAATGAGACACTACGGGCTTTTACTTCAGAACGTGCCGTTAATCTATCTATTGCTGTANCACTGGAGGTTATTGATAGTGGGTGTCGCTCTTTTATTCCCGCATATCTACATCCACTATCACAGCAACATCTACAATCTCAAGATGATCTTGTTGGCTCACCGATAGCCTCTTCAAAAGTCTATTCATATGTTGAATGTCTAGAAACTTCGCCTTGCAAGGGTTGGTTGCCATCCAACGATACACTACGGGCTTTTACTTCAGAACGTGCCGTTAATCTATCTATTGCTGTACATGATGCTACTAATGCTTACTCGCCTAAGAACTTTGATAGTGGATATTTAGATTTTCCCTTTGATCAAGCCATTCAAGAATGGATATCACAAGGTGGTGAACCATGGCACTTGATCGAAAGTGTTGATGGATTTCATATTAGCCAATGTGGACATGCAATACCATTTGATCATGGTTACAATCCAATAAACCTGATTGGTTGCCCCCGGCTAATACACACACTATCGATATTGAGCGAATCTTTAAAGATCAAGGTGAACACTAAGACTACTGCATAGGATAAATTTTCTATTTTTTTCCGAGACAACGCTTACATACGAAGTTCAAGCAAGTATGTGTTCAATTATTGTTAACTCTTTTGAATAGATGTACCTAACAAGCGCGTGAAAATTGACAGAAATTATTAAACGCTAGTAGGTCAACATGACACACGAGATGTATTTTCTAGCAGTTCAACATATGATCGTACAATAATATTCTGATTGAAAGTTAAGTGTTTTTACACAGACGCTTCTTCCTCATGTAATGAAAACAACTGTTACAGATAAATTGATATAAACGGGTACTCATCTAAAAGATCATAGATTCACTTTTTACTGTTTGCTGTAACCAAAGTTGGTAATGGTTTAATATCCGGTAGTACCATTTCTTGTCTAGCAATAGGATTATTTAGCATTGTGTCTTTTTTGTAATATTCCAAAAATAAACCTCCGTTGAGTAAGTGTGGATTTAATCGAAGGTACTCTTCAAAACTAATCTGTTTGGGGCTTTGTGCGATAGCCAGATCAACCATTTGAATCCAGAAATAGGTCATTGTAAAATGAAATGTTGTCTTTCGCGCTATGGGACTATTTTGAATGAAATTCTTAATGCCATCAAATATTTTATTGACTCCTGCTCTACGTCCATCGCGAATCAAATAAAGCCATGCCATACGCAGGTGAGTTTTATGAGACCAGCTTTTCAGTGCATTAGTTTCGAATTGTTTTAAAAATTCATCGTCATCTAATTCATCAACTGTTGGTTCGAGTGCTGAGTCAATCTTTTTCTCCACTATTTTGTTAGTAGAAGCAGATGATGCACGTACAATACTTGGTAGCTGTTTCAAATCGGGTAAAACAATGGTTATTTTTGCTTGACTACTAAATAATGTATCTTTTTTGTAATAACTCAATGGTACTTCGGTTTCATTCAGCAACTGTGGATTCATCAGTAGAAAACCTGTAAAATCATTTGTAGGATTTTTCGTTGCTTCAAATGCATAGTGTACGATTTGAAGCCAAAAATAAATCAATGTCTCATTCATATCATTGATATAGCTCTTGAAACGATCAAATAGCACTTTCACAGTCTTTTGTCTACCATATATTGTTAAATTAACCCATATTATTCTCAATAATGTACGGTGGTCAAATGCGTCCACAGATAATTGATGTGTCTCAAATTTCTCAAGAAATTCCTCGTTCGTATCCGCGTCTATTTGTGATAACCATTCTAACGACTTATTTTCATTATGATCGGTCTCAGTTGTTTCTGCCGTAGATACATTAGACTCCTTGATTTTGTTCATGATTCCCAAAGTATGTGGCGATTTCAATGCATGTACTAACCAAGTTAAACCTTCATGCAAACCGACATTTGCGCATGCACAACATGTCTGTAAATGCCATTGTCTATTTCTAATGTTGTTCAGGTTCATCTTTTGTATCACATAATCGGATTTCATACTATTAGGTAAGTCGACTTTATTCAAAAAAATTAATACGGGCAAATTGATTAATTCTTCGGCACACAGTATACGCCATAATTCTTCGTTTGCTTCTGATAGTCGTTCTCTGTCATTTGCGTCAATCACCATAATAAGAGCTTGTGTATTTTGAAAATAGTGCCGCAGCAAAGGCCGAATTTTATCACATCCTCCAACATCCCAAATAGTTAAAGAACTATTTTCATGCACTATGGTTTCTACATTAAAACCAATCGTTGGAATCGTACAAACAATTTCACCAAGTTTTAACATGTAAAGAACCGTCGTTTTTCCTGATGCATCAAGACCCATGGTCAACACACGATATTCAGGTGCATGATACAATTTATTAAGCATTGCACGAATGCGTGATGTCATCGTAGGAGAATTGCGTTATTTGCTGCAAGTTTTTTGTCTATACCTGTTTCGTCTAATGATTTGTAATTCTCTGACAATGCATATTTTCTTTCATTTAAATATTTTCCTGTTGGATGACTCAGCGAACATAATATGCATCTTGTTTCTTCTTCTTCATCATTCTGTTAAGAACACCTTCAGAACGAGCAGAATTACAAAATATTCTACTTCTAGCGCCCTCTACATCAGTTCATTCGACTCCGGTCGCACTCATACGAGTAAAAAGCAATTCGTTTTATTGATTTTCAATCTCGATAAGTTAGTCGTAATCAAGAGAGATATTACACATCCATAATTTGCTATGACCATTTTCGGTTTTGCTTAAAAGTCACATCCAATGGCTAACCTAAATGAATTTCGAAGAATATATGTAAGGTCTAACTTCATTGCGACACAAATATGTAGTATAAATATTCCGTTGCCAGTATTGTGATTAGCTTTTGTAGAACGGGTTGTATGTCAGATTAAGAACTGTTGAAAAAAGTAGTAGATGGATCGATGAGTTTAGAAGATGAAATTCGAAAGCATTATATGTTGTACTTCAATTATGACTTAGATATTTATTATTAGGCATAGTAAGAATCCTATTAAATGTTTTTTTTTCAGGAAGTAAAAATCAATCAACAGGAAGCCATTAAATGAACATGTGTGCAGTCCGTGTTGATCATTCTGGTTTACCATATACAGATAGAACTCACAATAAATAGCTTTGTCTGGTGGGCACTGTTAAATTTTAAGCGTCTAATTCACCGATAACCTACTGTGAAGGATAACTGTAAAATTGCCCTAAGATCGGGACTGAAATTACTTCCGAATATTTGACAATTAACTGTCAGAATATTCTCTGTCTATCTTATTATACAATCTCAGTAATATCCTTACAAAGAAGCATATGATTCTTCATTAAGATGTTCGAACAATTTGTCTATTTGAAATCAGTTTGATGAATCTAAAAAATAGATGAAAATAGATCGAATCTCGACCTTCTAGCAAATTTTTGTTGCTGTAATTAATTCAATCAAGATTTACACAAAAAAGTACAAGAGATCAAAGAGAATTCGAAACAAAATTCTATAAAATATCAACAATGGTTCCAATATTGCCGACAAACATCATAAAGTAAATTGTTTAAGGTTCAAGTAATTATGATAATAGTATGTCGAGGATAAATTTGAATAATTTTTTAGTTTTAATTCAAAATTAATTCGAAAATAGTTTTGAAATTCACAATCGATACATGTCGTCTACCTTTCACTACAATAACCAATGAGCTTTTAGTTTCGGCATTTTGCTTTATATATTTTTCCTTATATTTAATCTTTGAAGTTACAAATGATCCTAACAGTTAGTTTCTCTTTCGTTGGAAAACCATTTTCTAATAAGTGTCTCGTAAGATTTTTTAAACTTTTACGAAGCAGTGTCTTCTGTCTTAGGATTATTAGAAATCGTAAGACCGATGTGTTAACAATCATATGATTGGAATGCTCGGTTTGAACAAAAAATACAATAGCTTCTAATAAAGTAATTAATACTATCATTCTTTCGTATGTCCGGATAATAGTAAGTCGCGCTACTTGACTGCTAAAACTAATGGCACTTTGCTACAAAATTTTGTATTCGATTCGGTTTGACTAGGATGGCATGCCAATTGACTTGATGAGGAATCAGTCCGAACTTTTTTTTTCTATATTTGATTTTCGTTCTTGTTCACTTTCAAATAGAATTCTATAGCCTAATTGTTCTATTAATAAATATTTAATCGTTCTCAATTGAGCATATGAAAAGCCATCAAATATCCACATGCATCCTCCGGGTCTCAATATTCGATTCTGGTCCAGTAAAATAGTTCTCCATTCGATAGGCGTCGATCCATGAAACACCAACGAATGATGAATAATGTCAAAGCTAGATTTTGCAAATGGTAACACTTTTCGACCATCTAACAACAAACAAATACCACCTCTTTCAGTAATATATTCACAGTAGGAATGAAATCGAACCTTCTCCAGCATCGATCATAAGTTGACGCTTCGAAATGATATAAATTATGTAGATAATCAGGATTAAATATAGCTAGATCGCTAGTGAAATTGAGTCTCATGTTTGACCAATGAACAGCTGATTCGTTGGTTGGTACTGGTAATTTTCCATATTTGTTTGGCCAACGATAGTTTTTCGGCGGTAAATGAGTACACGAGGAAAATTGAGGAGAACTAGGTGCGAATGAATGGTCGATCGCAGAAATGCAACTGAAAATTTTGCTCAAACTTTGGATCGGTTGGACAATACTTTATTGGTTGATAATAAGTAGCATTGAATGAAACATTTTTATTTATTTATTTTTTTGTAAAGAAGTATTTAATGCTGCTCAAATATTCCATTCATAAATTTTATCGTTAAACTTATCGATTGCAAATATTTTTTCGATAAGTCTTTTGTTTTTATTTGATTATCTTGATCGAATTTCTTACAATAAGGTGAAGCAAATCTTTGTTGCATTTCATAAAATTTAGATTTTTTACATCCATAATGGTAGTTGAGTGCAATATATATGAATGATATGCAGTTTAACACTAATGAAATAACAAGTAATGTTTTGATTCATGGAAAAACTTTCAAGCAATTCATATTGATATGCTAACGATCAGCTCGCGTATTTTAAGATTTATATTTTGCTAAATATCTTCGAATTGATGAAACTATTACTTAAGCTGTATAGTTGTTGATGCTCGGCGTCGTTCTTTCGATATGAATTCCGTTTTCAGGCATTCAATAATTGAATAGTAATTAGATATTACTTTGTTGATGTTGTTCGGCGATAAAATACGATGAGTTGAAACTGATCATTGAAGTAAGGTAAACAGAGGCAATGATGCATAACCGTCTGGCTTAGGTGCTCATTCTAGTCACATATTTGCGGATGATCTCAACATACTCATATCTCCGCCAATATGCCGAGAAATAAAGTCAATGATTAAGTTTCTAGAAGAGGAAGGAACCAAAATTTGTAACCAAATAGCAAACTATTCGAAAAAATGGAAACAACCAGTTAATGTATCTAAAACAGTAGCACAGATTTTTCACTCACAAGTGCAAAATCCAATAATCAATGTTTTTATGGATGGCAAGAAATTAGAAGTAGTTAAAGAGTTTAAATATCTGGGTTTTGCCTGGACAAATAAGTTGTCCTTAAAACCAACAATTGATAAAACTTTTGAGAATATTCAAAGAACATTCAGTAAGTTAAGATGGATGAAAGGCGGTAAAACTGTCTCAACAGACATTTTGAGAAGATGTTTCTTTGCTTACAGTTTTCCGTAGTTTGCCTGGATGTTTCCACTGTATCCATTCCTACCGAAAACCCAAAAAGAATTGTTGTTAAGAAAGTTTAGAAACGGATTAAGGCTGGCTCATCGCTGCCCCTTTGCTCGAGCAACAAACATTCTACAAATAACAAAAGAAGACTCTTTAGAAGAGTATGTAAAACGATATATAAAGAAAAGGTTAGGACGAATTGAAAAATCAGATTTAGGTCGCTCGCCCTTCTACAATGATATATTTTATTGGGATTCATTCCATAAAGATAAGAATGATCACCTTGGTCATTTCTTTCGAATGAAGCGAGTCAGACGCAAACGTGACAGACATCAATCGCTACTTCTGAAATGGCTTGAATTTTTAGTTGAATGAACTCAACCATGGGTTTTTGTTTCTTTGTTTTTTTTTGTTTAATGTTTCGTGCTCTCTAGCTCTCGCTCTTTTAACGCGTCCCTATTTTTCTTGTTCTTGTTCTTCTTCTTTTTCTTTTTCTTTATTCTCATTTTCCCCTTTACTTTCTTTTTCCTTTTCGAGTTATTTACATGTATAACTCTATACATCACACTCTATCTAACAAGCATGGCATCTTATGATTGTTTTGTTCTCTCTTCTGTATGTTTAAAAGTTCATTGCCGTGATAATCAAACAGCTGTAAATTCTTACGGAAACTCTTGTAAGCACTTCCGAGTGTAACAATAAAAGAGCGAAATTTAAAAAAAAACCCGTCTGACTACAATAACACGTAATGTGGTGTGACTATGGGGGTTTATGTCAGCGTACGTATGAATATCATTTTAATGAAAAGATTCAAATCAATCGATCTCAATTGTCAGAAAGTTCGCCACCGTTAATTTGTATTATGCAGATTTTTTATTTCATCGATAAAATACATTACTCTAGATAAAATCTTTCTTCAAATGCCAACGAAAAACTTCAATGAATTTATCAAATCGATGTGTCTATTTTTCATAGTAAACAGTAATGATTTGAAGGTTGGCGTAGATGCGCACACAACGCAGTTGTATACATTTACACAAATGCACACGCACTATTATTTTTGTTTTTTGCATATTCTCCGTCGAATGTGTAATGAAGATCAATAAAATATTGATTAAGCTTTTTTAAAATTCTGTAAATAAAAACCAAGTTCGAATCCTAATGAATGCGAACAAAACAAAACGTTTCTTATGTATCTACATAACGGCGATGTAGCATGATTGTTAAAAATAATGATTGAACGCTACTAGTAATTGAGCATTGGGATGCGCAGAAAATGTGAATTTTTTGAGTGTGGTTCTCATCTTCATCTAGAACTTTCTTTTGGTAAGTTCAATGATACCTACACGTCGGTTTGCTTCCTCATTCGCGTGCACTTATTTGCTAACGGAATGCATCAAACTATCTCCTTTATGTGTACAATGTTTTACCTAAAAGTAAGTTGAGCAAAATTTGTCAAATACTTAAAAGGATGACATCTGGAAGGAAAATTTTCTAGTCTTCTGTATACGCAGTTTGAAACTTTTCTTATACACGTATCTAATGTAAATAATCGAATCTGCCTGGAGAAATGTATTTAACTCTAAAGATAATAGGAAATTCACACCTACAGTTTATCTTCTATCACCAAAAATACCTCTAGAAAATGAGTCAGAACTAATATGCCAATGACATATGACCATTTTATGTCTTACATAGCTAAGAAGTTACAAAGAATGGCCTTGGGTAATTCTTGAACAGGACTCAAATACAGAAACGAAACTTCTCCTTAAGTTTTAAAACCTTATTCAGTAGGAACAAGGAAAAAATGAAATCATGAAAATAAGCATCGAAGTTTCTATTAGTAGGTTAAGCGAGCATTAATATATTTTTCTCAAGCACCAGAAGAAATGGAATCAAATTGTTCATCGTATATTTCAATCGTCATTGTCAATCATGCTTTAGAAACGCCATACAATAGAGAAGTAGAAGTATACCGCAGTTTGAATAGTGACTTGTGCACAAGAAAAAAAAGTTTGAACTATAACTTATGTTAGTCTACAAGTCGGTAAAGTCTAGACGTGCACTCTGTGTCAAGCTCACATTTCACTTTTCCATTTTTATTGAGATAGACAAATATCACACTTCCGGATATAAGTTTATCTAGTTGTTTGATAACATTAAAGTATATACACTGATCGGTGAAGTAAGCCATAAATATTTTTCATAGTCTTTTATGCATCATTACCAACTAAAATAGTGCAAGTAGTTAATCAATCATAAAATAAAATTTGCTTAATAAGTCTTAAGAATAATATGTAAAATCAATTATGGCCTGTGTCCCTGAGTAATATGACCGGTTCTGTTTCTTTATCTACTAGAAACAGACGTGGTCATTATGATGCAACAATATAAACCAGCCATCACCATCGAATGATATAGTTATATTCGTCGCGTTAAAGGGTCCACCAAGTTCAATTCGTGTCAAATCAAAATCCAGTACAGCACTTGGCACATCATCGGTTGTGTTCCACAGTGGCTTAGGTAATCAATTGATCGTCATATTCACGTGTGACATATTCGTCGTACCGAAACTATAATAGAAAAAAATATGCTTTCTTCGCCATTGCGGAGCCCATCACATGAATACAAGTGACAGTGAAATAACTTCAAACAGCAGTTTGTTATTGTATAATTATACATATATTTATTCAGATAATGTAAACTTGTTATTTGTTTTTGTATAAAAGGATAAATATTGAGATCAATCAATATCTTATTCAGGCATTGGAAATATATCAGTGTGCTGGAAACTCAAAATAATTCATTAGCATCATCGATTTTGCATTCGTATTATTACGAACGATTATATTCATCGTTTTCAACTAGGAACAGAAAAAAAGGTATTGTCTTTCAAAAAAAATACTTCGCTGACTATCTGTCAAGGGGGAAAAGGCTGATTCTGTGGTGATAGAATCATTGGAACCAGGTAGAATCAACAGAATCACTCGGAGTCCATGGAATCACTCAGAATCACTGAAAGTCTTCGATGAGTTCTAGTGATTCCGGGTGATTCTACTGATTCCAAATGATTCTGGTGATTCCGGGTGATTCTGTTGATTCCGAATGATTCCAATGCTCTGGATTCAGCTGTTTTCATCTTGATTACAATTAGTTTTTCATTTTGAACACGAATGTGACATTGGTTTTTGTTTAGTCATAAAAATCAAAGAGAAAACAATTGATTTTATAGTACTGGAATCACACAGAATCAATGGAATCACGGAATCAGCTTTTCCCCACTTGCTATCTGTTTAGATTAATACACTTGTATAGCGAGAACATATTCTACGTTCAGCTGATAATTCAGAAGTAGTGTTAAAAAAATTAAGGTAATTCATTTTTTAATTAATAATACGAACGTAACTCGATTGTGTTACTTTTTCACTGTTAGAATACGATCGGTTTTTAGATGGCAACACCAATTGAAGACGCCCAAGTTCAACTATTTCCACTGGAAATAGCCTCGGAAGTGGTGCAAAAAGTAAAAAGAAAATAAATGTTCTTTTATTCCGTTCTTTAATTAAAATTCCGCGTATAATCTTTTTTCTGCAGCAAGAATTCGATTCATCACTTACTGTTCACGAGAGCACGATTGAGACACTAACATCATTACTTGAAAAAGGTTATCCATCACCAGCAATGTGTGATTTTTTTAATCAAGTAATATTTATCTATACATCATGCGATTTTTTTTATGACTAAAGGTATTTTTTTCTTCGAATAATTTAGTATTGCCGTGGTAATCCACGTTCACAAATTGTTATTGAAATGTTTACACCGGCTATTGAGAGAATTTTGAAACATAATACGGTAAAAATTGATGATTATAATTACAAGCAAACAAAAAAGAATTAAAATCATGTTCTTTCTTAAAAGGATTTTGTAAAATATATGCGAATGCGAATGCTCGTTCAAGAGTATTTACTTGCGCTTGATTCTCAAAATGCTGATTCAGATGTTGTAGAAGATTTTATTAAACGGCAATAATCGATTTATAGTTTTAACAACAAATAATGTTTATTTATTATAGGATGCACGGCTACACAACATTTTGCCCATTTCTACTTGTTCTCTCAAATTTTATTTCTGTCTGTCTTTCTGGCATTGATGAATTTTTTCAACATCGAAAAAAGTAAATACTTCATTTTCTTGTGTTTTCATATAGCTAAATCATATCTATATACTATTTTCATTTTTATTAAATAGTTTTCACTTTCAAGATAAAACAAATCGCACTGTATATGAAGAGAAAACTGACAGTCAATTAGTATGCTATGCAAAAATTTTACAAAGAATGTAAGTTCAAAATGTACTAGTAGCAATTCTGAAAAAAACAGCTGAGACTTGGATGATAGATGCTGCATGTTTTCGCATGATTAGTAATGACAATATATTGTCACTAAGAAAACAAACATGAAATAAACGGAGACTGATTGACATGTTTTTGCCACTTCTATGACTATAACGCATTTAATATCAAATAGTCTGTCTCAAGCCAAGAGGTACAATTATCTGTATTTACGTAGTAGCTATATCGTCTTCAGTCATTTATGGTACTTAAAAAGTTCATATTTCATTTTACTCTTGTCACGAATTAAAAATAGAGGTATCTGATTATAATAATCATTTTGTTACTTTCTCGAAAATAAGACGTTACTAATACTAATAAAGGATCTATATAGTGACATTTTACAAAGCATCTTGAGAAGTTTTCATGAACAATATAGGTGTGAAGAATCGTTTTGGTAATCATAAATCGAATGAAAATGATTTTTTTTCTGCCAATATAGATCCACATTTTACGACTGGCGACCACATCTTGCTGTTGTTCTACAACTCGTTCCTTTTCCATATCTAGCACTCGAACATATTTCTTTCATGAAGTAAATTTTTCTTCATGCGAAATATTTTCTATCGTATTTTTCTTTATTTATAATAGAATATTAAAAAATGTTGTTAAAAGTTTTGCTGCAGATACAAGATGTGAAGTTCATCGAACCGTGTTAACTATTCGTGAAAGTAATAAAGGCTGGCTTGAAATATTTTGTTTGGGAGGAATTTTTTGTGATGATGATGGTGAAACGTTTTCATTGATGGTGAAGAAATGTTTTTAATAAAAAAAGAAGTTTTTTTTTTACTTATGTGCATTTTTTAGCTCAGCACATTAATCTCATGTTGTTGTCGAAGAAAACATTTCCTATTGAATATTAACAAATTAATATCATCCTTACTGTTACTTGCATCACGCGAAAATCAAAGCTGTATAGATGTAAGTTTGAAATGTTTAACGTTTTTTCAAAAAGACATAAATAAAAATTCATTTAGACTTTATGTGCCATGATTGAATTGAATGCCGTTGAAAATCCTACTCATGTATTAGAAATAATATTAACATTACAATCAACGCCAAGTGGATTAGAAAAGTATGCGAATGTATACGAAAGACAAAGGGCATTAGAGCGAATGCGACAGAAAGGTGGACCAAGAGAACTTACATTGTCATCACGTTTCACTGATAGTCTTTTAGAAATATTACTATCAGAAGGTTCATTTGGCGATCTTGAATGTTTAAGTTTAGCATTTACGAGAGTAACAAGTGCTTGCGCTGAACATTTAATTAAATTGCCAGGATTAAGAAATTTAAATTTCTGGTCAACACGAGTAAATTTAAATATTCAAAACTTTCATTCGGAACTATGACCACTGAGTATTGTTCTACTTTAGTTTGGTGATGCTGGTTTAGAATTACTTTCCGAACATTTATATCGATTAGAAGTACTCAATTTATGTGAAACATCAATAACGAATAAAGGTCTTACTTATTTAGCAAGTAAGGTTATAATGTCGAATCTTTTTCTAATTTTTCATGTTGCTTATTTGAATGTTTAGGCATGAAAACCTTACGGAAACTTAATTTAACTTCAACAAATACATCTCTTTCAGCGATTATGGCGTTAAAAGTATAGATTTCAAAATAAAATACATGTTATTCACATAAAACTACTCAATTACTTTTCAGAAAAAATTACCAGCGTTGGAAGAATGCGACGTTCGATACGTCAATGTTTAGTAGACAGACACATCATCAAAATTTTTCTCATTATAATGATCTTCAAATGATAAGATTCATGCATTACCACTCAGCAATAAACACATATATCAATATGATTGATTTCAAATTTGTACAGTGAACGCATGCTTTTAGTTGCTATGATTTATCTCGTACATTTAATGTACGAAGACAGATACAGTCATCTCAAAGATCATGACGTTTTTTTTCTTGCTCTTGATGCACTTGTTTGTTTTTGTTTTTTTCAATTCGAGTCAATACCACTCTCACTATATTCCTGCGTACATTATTTTATCTTAAAAGCTACATATGTATAAAAATAATATCCTATTAAATATGCTTGGTTTTTCCCGTTGCGATTTGTGTTTCATAGTTCTTTTTTTTCTTGTGTGTTCGTGTTTTAAACAGAAAGAGTTACATTTAATGTATCAATGCATCTCTGCGCGGACGAACCTTATCACTAACTTAACGAAATACGAAGCGAGCGTTCGGCTACTCAAAAAACATTTTGGGATATTGATAGCTGCCGCCCCAGCACACACTTCTGTTTGCAGAAGAATTCTTGATATTTCAAAGGCAATATTACAAAAGTCCACAATCTAATATATTGTGGGTGTGGGTTTAGATGATACTCAGGCTGTTGCTGGGATGCGCCTGTCACGTCTTGGGTTTGAAAGGTGCTTTTCTACGCAGGCTTAAGTTCTGGGTGTTATCAGGAGTGCACGATATCTGTGTTCGTGTCATTGATTCGGAATGCGGATTGCTTGCTGGCTTATGAATCTTTTACAGCTTTACGAATAGTCATATGGATACCCTTACCGGAAGCTTTATGGGCACTACGATAGAAACTATAATATCCAAGTTCATATTGTAGATTTTTCGCAATGATTTCCGGATTAGCAATCTTAAACTCTGAGAGGCATTGCAACGTTTTGTCTCGCGACATTGTGTCCATGCGACATTTTGTCTGCGGCCATATGTCCTAGCGCCTTGAATGGGATTTCAAGTAGTAAAAAAGTTTTTTTTCTAAACTATTTTCGCTCAGATAAAAAAATGCAAAAGGCAAGCGTAATGCTGTGACACTTTTTTTGTCGACAAAATTTGACGCACTTAACATGCGTAAATCTTTTTAATGTTTATATATAATGATCATTGCAATACGTATATCCTTCTGTAAAAAGAATCAAGTTGCTACATTGAAATAGGAGCTCAATAATTGTACAGTAAGTTAGAAACTGGGCAAGAGCTTAGTTGTCCTGAGGAATGAGAGTAAAAATTAAATCGGCCATTTTGTAGAGAATCAAATTCTGCATCGAATGGTATACTAGTCTACATTTTGTTTTAGATTTCTTGGTTAGAAAATTGAAAATACAATTTTTGAAAACTGTAAAACGCGATTTTCGATGCCAAAACTCAATTTTTTAAGAAAAAAAAGTCCAAATTCACAATCAGCGTAAAAGGCTATGCCAGAAAATATGCTTAGATCTGGCTTTATCGAAAAAAAAAGATTTAAAAACTTGATTAGCGAAGTAGCGCGTTACGTGGACAAGCCGAATGATCTTTTTGTCTCTCCGTAAATCTTCATTGGTTAGTATTGTAGTTCGTTTACGTTTGTCTTTATAAGCATAATTTGCGTATCTAGAAACTAAAAGAATAATGATTCTTCGCGAAGGCTAATCATGATGAGTGAAATGATAACGGTATTGAAGAAAAAGAGCAGATAATGTAAAACTGGTACCACCACATACGAATAGAACTGCAACACGAACAGCATCCATATTTGTCTTATTGAAAGCTGGAAGAAATAAGATAGTGCCAATAAAATAAAAAGCACCTCCAATACCGGCGAAACCATCAACACCGAATGCTGGAATATCCTTTAATAAATTTGATAAACGAAATCGCCTATCATGTCGATCGTGAATATTAGTACAAGCAGAACGATATACTTTCCATGTTTGAGAAACATGAATAAATGCTGAGCCAACAATAAAAAGCCATTCACCAGAAACTAATTCGTTCCTAAATACTGGAATGAATAATATTGATCCAGCTAGATACAGTGCAGAACCACAAACTGACATAAAAAAGTTTATTCCAACTTCTGCTCGTTCATATCGACCGTGAAATGTATTTCGTGGATTACGAAATAGAGAAGAAGCATGTGTTTCTAACGATGTTCGATATTTACCATCGAAACAACAACCAACTCGATGATACCACCATTCTTGTAAATCAACAAGCAAAAATAAGAATGATCCAATTGTAAAAAGCCATCCACCGATAGTTAATGCAAACGAATAATTGTTGTAAACACTAGGGAAAAACATACAAGACCCAATGCAGAAATTAAGTGCACCAATCATATAATGTGTTCCATGAAATATTCGCCATAACGACGATTGTGGTCTCTCAAGGACATTATCATTCAAAGATACAACAAAAGGAGTTTCTTCGGTGGTTGATGACATATTTTTACTTCGAATCTGTAAGGGCTTCTGTAAAAATGGTCTTGTTTCTCATTTTTTCAATATCTGCTTAAGCTTATGATTGCGAAGAAAGACGAAACCACGCACACATTTTATTTTACTTATAATTAGTCTAGGTAGTTGTGTATATGAAGAAAATACAGAACAGTACAAAAAAGGAGAGAACGTACAAACAAATATCACCAATGAATGTGTAATGGTGATCTAGTACGTGTTCTTGTGTTTCTTTTTCATGTTATCAGCGCCCTCTTGTATTACAATATTGGCAAATAGTTAACTCGAAAGTTATGATGATATACAATCAAATGCATACTTTCTCACGCATGAAAAACGTGTAAAAGAATCGACAAAATATTCTAATGAAATAGAAATATTTGATGAAATATAGAAATTAACTGTGATAAAAGTCACAGTTGACATTGAAATGCGCGAAAAAAAATAATTAATCCAAATTTTTTTTCCTTTTTTTTCTGCTCGTGATAATAGATTATAGGAAAACAGATTAGAGAAGAAATATTTCTCAGATAAATTCAATATTCCCATGCCCCCATAGTTAAAAAAATAGGCAGAGTTGAATTATTTAAGAACTCATTGTAAAAAGATGCAAGGAATAATTCTAACACCGAATGATGCAAATGAATTACAAAGTAATTCTCTGTTGAACAATAACCAATATAGCTCTTATGGGGACGACCATAGAGAATCAGGATCTACCGTAGGGAGTCAGAGTCTGTCATACGGAATCAGGATCTGCCATAGGGAATCGGGGTCTACCATGGTGTGGGTGTCACGTAGGGTATACACAGCAAGAGCACCCACACACATCATACATGATAGTGTGGGTGTGATGAAGGGTGTACACAGCGAGAACACACACATCACAGCCCACATATTTTTAGGACCTTAGTAGACCCTGGTTGACCCTGACAGGCCCTGATAGATCATGGTAGATCCTGTTAGACCCCGATTCCCTATGGCAGACCCTGATTCTCTATGGCAAACCTTGATTCTCTATGATAGACTCTGATTCCCTATGGCAGACTCTGACTACGTTACATTTTTGAATTATTTTGTAATTCATTTGTGTCATGAAGTCAATTCTCAATATAAAAATTTCTAAAGTCAGATCTCAACAAAAATTCTATTAAAAATATTAAGAAAAAAACTATTCCAAACTCAACTAAATTCCAAACTCGCCTGCCACATAAACATCGGTTTGATCCGAATTTAGAGTTTTATCAGTTTTCAATTTGCGAAAAATCAAATATTAGATAGTAATTCTTTTGTATTTTTCTTGTTAATACAACCTCAGCTCTATTAGACATCATTCATGCTTTACCTCGAGAAAACATTGCAATGATGCTGAGTGCAAAGTTTATCGAAAATATTCGTGGTGGTTTGTATGTAGATTTTATATATTAGACTATCTACTGAATAATATTTTTTATGATCGAATTTACCAAAAAATCAGATGTTTTTCAATCGCCTAATGAGTTCTTTTTCAATTTACAATTGTATTGAAGCTAGTTAACTAGTTTGTTTTACAATTACCTCTGAATCATAGTTTATTTTTTACATGCTTCGCTTACAATCATCCGCATATGATCAGGCGAATACTATCAAGAAAGAAAGAAGAAAATTTTATTTTGTTTTATCATACAAGTCAAAGTACACTAAAACTCTTAGTAAAAATAAACTTTGGCATAAAACTCTAGCTACTACTCTTCTCGAATATCTCATTTTTATAGAAATCCGAAAAAACTCAATGAAAATTACCTCTACAAATTTATGAGATAGATTTAAATGAGTATGTTATTCATCAATATTGACTATTGTTTTTATGCTTTTAGTCATAACTTTAGTCCAATTGTTCTTGATATTCCTAAAAAAATCTTTCATCGTTCATATCGTGAAGATATTTGTGAAAGATGCACACACGCATATTGTTAGGATTTATTTGTTTATTTTCAATGAAATAAAGCATAACATGAACAAAAAGAGAAAAACGAAATAACAGTTACGATGATCGACGGTTAGAGCCCGCCGAGTCCGGTTCCGGATCTGGAATGAATTTTTGACAAAGTCTGGGTCTGTATCCGGGCCAAAAATTCTAGGACCCGACGGTCTCTATCGACGGTATAACGATGTCAACGATAATAACGATCACCACAACTCAAAACACAATTCACAACATCACGATTAAAGTCTTATCTTAAGCTAAATTTCGATTTTTGAAGTAAAATCTGTCCGTCATGTAAACCATTACAAATTCACCCAATTCCACAAATGCATATTACTTAGGATCTGTTATCTGTGAATGAAAATGAAAACGTTCTATTAATTTTTCGGTTTTCTACTAATCCATCGTTTGAGATATGAGAAATGTTTGCATCTTTTTTACAACTCAACTACCTATTAGTGACAGTTTGTGAAAAATTTACTTGCACCAATTCTAATTCTATTTGACATGTTTTAATGTTATGCATGAATGAATTCTTGCTACTGGTTGAATAGTAATAAGTGTCTTAGACAAACTGTGCTTATGCAAACTTGCCAATACAGGCATGGCTATTCTATTCCTCCTCTAAAGCGTAGTGTTGCAGTTGTAGATAAATCGTCAATTTAAGTGACGAATATACAAAAAAACAAAAATATTGGTTCGATTTCACGTTGATTTATTTTTAGAACTTAAATCACTGAAAATCTATTGAGAAATTTGAAGATTATATTGGGAAATATTGCGTACGCGTGATTAAAAAGAGCGTCAATAATTGATAAGAAACGCAAATAAGAGATACATAAAAATCGACGCTTTATGAAATAAGATTAAAAAAAGAAATATACAAAAGCTTGAAGTATGGACGAATTGAGAGAAAAATTCGGAAACCGAATGAACCTTGATTGGACTCTTTATTTTATATCTTCCATAAAATCTTTCGCTTACAAAGCAATCAAGTTAAAACAGCGACCTGATTTCGTGCAATTTTAAATGATCTATTGAATATTTCAAACTGAAAATAGAATCGTTCTGCTATTTATAGTTAATAACTGTCTTGTCGTTTTCTGGTCATAGCATTTTCATGCATAATCGGTCATGAATTATGAATCGATAGAAGTTACTTATGAGTTTCATCATGCCTTACACAACATAATAATTGAATTGATATTTGAGCAAATGCAAGTTAATTAATATCGTTTATCGTGTTTTCAGTGCTTATTCAGTAGTCGTCTGATGCGAAGAGCTGAATGAGTTCTATTCTTTTATAATACAAAAGTATAGAACTTCACATAGAAACGTTTTTTGTAAAGATTATTTGTATTTTGTGTTAAAATTGCACTGTCTATTGAAGTTCTCATATTCTACAGAATGCTAAAACAACAAACCGTGATATAACTAAGGAAAATACGAAGATTCCAACAATCTAAAAAATCGTTTGGGCTTATGAAAATCATTTATTGATTGGTGTATGTTTTTGAAAGAAGCTATATCCACATGATTCGAACTGACTTTCAGTACGAGTGTGTAACTTTCGATCTAAAATTATGAACATTTATGTTTATAAGATTAAACAAATCCTGTAGGTAGTATAGGCAACAATATTTTTAGCTTTTAACATTGTAAACTTGTACCCAGATTGACAGAAACACGAGGTGTAGTATTTTCTTCCATACAGACTTCGCTAAAGGTTGAAAGTTGACATTGAAAATTAACATAGAATCCAAGTTTCAAATGTGGCATATATGATGTTACTATTAATGAATTATCGATCACTAATGAAGAAAAACAATATTTGACAGCAATGCTTCTATAATCAATGTTTCTTCTGAATGGGTGTGGTTTTTGAGGAAGACGATATTTCCATTGAGTCCACAACTGAAATTTGCAACTGCTGTACTTTGTATAGAATCAAAACTAATAGTAGAGACGCATCATCGAGAAAGACTGTATTGAGTGTGAGTATGGATCGTGTGTTTAAATTCAGATGCGTATAATGCTTATGCAAACACGTACACTTCTGTCGATAACCGCGCTGTACGACCGGTGAAAAGTTCTTTTATAGCTTCATTTTTGTTTTCTTGTTACATACAAGGAATTACTCCATGTAGAAGAATATCGTCTTTGAACAACTCTACATTCTCCGGTCGGCTTTAATGATACTGATTAGTTCATAATATTTAGTGCTATGTTAATCATCTTGTTTGAGCTTTGTAGCTAAAAGGACATGAACAGTTGTTAACAACAATAAGCACACGTATTTGAATTAAATTAAGCTGGAAAATTTGAAGGATTTTTCATCACAGACTGTTTATAAAAGTAAAAATTTGTTCCCATACGTTTGCATTTTGTTCACAGCTTGAGTAAACAACACCGATCAAATATTCAAGTATGCATAACTTCGAATAAAACGGGTAATAGACAAATAGAAGACGCTGACCAATCGCATAAGCACAGCGAAAAACGTTTCATCAGCATCAATTTCATATGTATGATTGAAAAAACAAAGATTTTTGGATTGGGTTTTTCCCTTTCTATTTTCCATGTGTAAATAACCGGCACAAAAACGTGTGGTGTAAAATTTGATGTCAGTAAAGCTTGTGCATATACAAAGCATGAATTGATAATGCTTTTCATATTCTCTTAAAATCAGAACAACAGCATCAATCATTGAAATCTGTCAGCCAACAGATTAAAATCCAAGTGAATTCTGATTCGCTTATTTCAATAGCTACTCATAATGGCAAACATTAAAGCTCAAATAACTATTGAGAAAATTATTAAAAGAAGAGGTGATCAGATTACTGAAGTTGAATAATAAATACACGGAAAATCATAGTGACGGTGCACATGAAAGATGTCACATATCAGTGCAACGAGATAGGTATGAACAATTTATAGCTACAAAACCTAAACTTTCATTTTCATTCGACACATTTGTCAAAATTTTAAAACCCCTCATGATGGGTGGACATGCAGCAGGCGATATTTCACTACATTCATCAAGCAAGACGTTGAACGAGATATTGCAATTGGACATGCCTAAAATCAGTTATTCTGGAAAACACTTTTTCCTTCAAAAACTATCCTATTTTTCTTCTTAAATAAAAATTCTTGTATAGTATCTATAGAAACTAATTTTTAATTATTATTCAAAATAAATCGATCAAGTGTTATTTCTATCTAGTATCGAGTAGTTCAAGTTTTTTTCGGCTTTGTTTTGCTATCCACAGGGACGGCGCGAACGGGGAGGGGGGGCGGGGGTCCCCCAACTTTGGAAATTTTTGTTTCAATTTTACTCCGATTTGAAGAAAATAGAAGAAATTTTTATTAATTTACTCCGACTTTTGAAAACAAGAGAAGAGATTTTTATTGATTTACTCCGATTTTTGAAAAAAAACCTCCCATTTTCAAGTAACCCCCCTATATTTTTGTTGCTTCACGCCGTCCCTGGCTATCCATCCAACGGCATATTCGATCATCATTTAATTCTATAACAAATAATTAATCGTGCCATTTTTATGAAAGCATTCATTGAATCTATGACTCAATAGCTCTAGATAAGTGAAGACGTTCATAATAGTTTGTCTAGCTATTTGCTGTAAAAACAAAATTCATAATCATACTTCTTTTTTCAATAGAAATAAGCTTCAAAACATCTTATTAGATCTGTTTTTTATGCTCTCCTATATTATGCTTTGTACCGCTTGACATATGCTGTCAATTTTCTTTAGATTTATTTTCTTCGAGGAAAAACTATTGAATCAAAAGATTATTTAATCAGGTTACTAGTAATCGATACACAAGCTAGATTCTTCCAGTATGATACATCTCCTAAATTAATTTTTCAATGAATTGAAGCATATAAATTTGCTTGTAAGATATTAATCGGTGAATTACCATTCTCAGGCGTGAAACTTTCATTTTCTTTATATTCTCATACAGGAAAGAAGAAGCTGAGCCCATTACTATTGCTAGAAAATTAACAACATCTGTATTATCGAACACAAATGAAATAAAACAGCTATTTAATAATAGTAGTTCCAATGAATCTTTCTTTCCTGCGTCTTATCTGCTCACATTATGTTTACTTCCTTCTATACGTTCGATACTTTCTCGTATGCTGGTATATTTTTTCATCGTACTATGTTTGATTTCAAACATTTTATTATTCTTTCTTCGAGTAAGAAAAAAAAACATAATTTCACCACAATCTCATAAAGTTTCCCTATGCTTGTTGATCAATGCTGTGCATCAAAAAGAAAATTTCTCAGTTTACCTTTATTACAATAGTTGTTTCGTATGAATTTTTCGCAAATCCGAACATATTCAAATAATTTATAAGGGCCAGACGAGCCGCAATAAAAACATACAGTTATTATATTAAAAATAGAACTTTTAGAAGCCCTATCGCTTTTGTTTCAAGTGATATCTTATAGTGTGTGTCTTGTCTACTAATCAAAATCGCATAAAATTCTTCTTGCCAATTTAGCATATTATGATCTTAAATTATATCCGTAACTTCATTTAAGTAGGATTCATCTAAGCGTTCATTTCGAACTGAATATGTTTTGAAACATTGAAAATCTAGCAGACTCAAATTTCTAGAAGTCCTGCCTTATGTTTTGATTTAAACGATGGTTAATTTCATTCTCATGAAAATGTGTCGCAGTTATTTCAGATGAGACTATCATATTCTTGTTCTCAAGTTTTCTTCACAGTTCACCTAATATTTACTTATTCCCAATGAACGGTAGCCGCCAGTGTTTTCTTAATTGTTAAAAGATGAATTGAAAAGCCCAAGAATTCTAATGGCAAGGACAAGAAACAAATAGAATAAAAACAAACGGCAATCTTATTTCTAAAAGGTTAGAATTCTTCTTTTTTTGTTGTATTCAAAAATGAAAAGAAGAAGAGAAAAGCTGATTAGTAATATATGACGAGACTTACGGGTAGACGAAGGAGAAGAGTAAATCAATATATTTCGTCACACAATTATTAAGTCTGTTTACCTTATCCTTGCGTTTTTGTATGTCTACATACGTCGATACACACAAGCCAGATGAGGATTAACCGAATTCTCTATATCATTCGCTGTTGCTGATTGAATTATACATAAAGAATAAAAACAATATATATGTAGACACATCAAATTTCGTCTTGATTTCTTAGCCTATCGTTGTTTCGATTAGAATACAAAACAAAACATGCTAGTTATACAATTCATTATAAATCAAAGGAAATATCTTCTTCTTCTTTCTTTTCTCAAAGATTTTTGAAATCGACGTCATGTATGATGTTGAATCTTATCTACACAAACAAATTGATGATTCTTGGATTGCATTACTTGTCATAGCAATTCTAATATTAATTTCATCGATTATTACCATCACTGTTTTATGTCTTCTTTGGCGCCGTCATCAACAACGTGCGCAAGTGACAAGTGAAAATTCTTTTTTAAATAATAAATCAAACCGCAATCGACCATTACCAGTGCAACAATTCAATCCTCGTCAATCGAGACTTTATGAAACACAAGTAAATATATACATATAGAGCGAAATATTTCTCATCGAGTTTTATTTCTTGTTAATAGAATTTTTTTTCTTTTTCGATGCAATAGAAACTGCAAGTTTTTATACCGCCTAGTATGGATGATACAACAGAAAGAAGTTTAGACGTAATTCATACACGTTTCAAACCTCGAAATGATAGTCAATATGTACATCAATTCTGTCCAAGGTTTGAATGTTTGTCGGCTTTAACTTAAAATTCATGTTTTTACTATCTTCTAGCACAACAAAAGCTTATTTCTAAATTAAAAAAAAATTGTGTAATAATGGTTTTAAATGACTCATCTCTAATATGAATAGGAGATTATCTTTCATGATATCTTGTTTCAATAATTTGTTATGGAAGAACAATGTTTTTTTTGTATTTTTTTTTGTTTTTGTTAAGCATATCGAATCTTTATATCTTAATATGAATTCATTGACATTAATGGCAAATATTATTTTGTATTCATTTTATCTAATTTTACTCGATGAAGTTTCTCCTTGAGAATCTTAACGGTCAATCCTTTTAGGACAAATTTTCTTATAGCACAAAACAATCAAAATACGAAACTACATTAAGTCAATGAATTTCCATTCTTAATCAAAGAATGGCTCTTTCAAACAACATCTCAGTATATATATATATATATATATATATGTATATCCCATAGAGTAATATAGAATACGCATCAATAAATATTAACCCTTTCGGGATGGGAAACGCATTATAGGTACATTTTATTTTTCATAATAATTATGATAATAAATTTATTTATTTTTTGTTAAATTTCTAATCATTGGACATTCTACATAATCTTTTATGTAAATTATTGAATATATTCTGATCATGATAAGTAATAACAAATAAGCAATTCCGATCCATTCGTTTGAAATGCATCGCCATGCTCTGAAGTTTTCTTCTGTCTAGAACAATAAAGACTCGAAGTAATTTATGTTAGACTTTTGAATAAGATGTTTTAACTTAAAAGAACAGTAATTTATTTCTGTTTCCAATCGACCAGAATTGGTTACGAATGTTGACTTATCGGCTACATTCAGAATAAATAGAAGATTTGTTTTTCTTTCTTCTTCATGTTGCAGTCATCTGTGATGTAGCTAATTTTAATTCTATTCTTCTTTTGCAATTGTTAGTCAAGCGAAATGGAAAAAAGAGATGATCTCCTTATATTCAATGATGCATTACTAAGCAGCATTTATTTTTTTTGATTATAGAGCATTAACATGATTTACGCGACAAAATTGGCGAATCACTAAAGCACTAGAATATATGCGGATGGCCCCAGTTAAATGTCCCTCGCAGTGTTTTTTCAATAACTTCATCATTTTCATTTTCTAGGTCTTAGTTTTCCCCAAAAAGATTTGCCATTCAATTCTCTACAAGATTGGCATTACAGTTTTTTCTGTTGAAAGCTGAGGAAAAAAATTAAAAAAACTTTCAAAGTGATTTTTAAAACAAACTTTTGCAAATTTTGTTTTTGCAATGGCACACAAAACGAAACAGAAGCAAAGATGTTAGTGAGTACTTTGAAGTGTACTCTTTCTCGTCGTGTAGCTCTGAACTCGTTGAAATCAAACGAAAGATCAAAAATCTGACTTTTTGACAATTCTCTTCAAAATAGCTTAAACCAGATGTTTGGCGCTAGCTGAATTAAAGAAAAAAAATTAAAACTTAAATTTCGCGTTTGACTTTGGTACAGTGGGCCATTTCGATCAAAATGGAAAAAAAACGAATGCAAAAAATGATATTTAGACATAGTTGCGCTTCTTTTCCTAGGAGTATCGAAATTGCAGATTGAAAGAGCTAAATTCTCTCGCATATCTCAAACAGAAGATACTTAGAGTGTGCATTACAAGGTTGGATGTGGAACCTTCTCAATTATGATCGGAAGATAGAGCTTTTCAAAGGCTACAAAATAACTACATTGTTTAATTTTTATCGTCACTGGCGAACGAAAAAAATCTGCAAAAACTATTTTCCAGCTTTGAAAGTTGATGCTGTTATACTTGTTGAATATTCTTTTTTTAATTCTTTTTTCCTCAACTTTCAACAGAAAAAATTGTAGTATCAATCTTGTAGAGAATTGAATGGTGAATCTTTTGGAGAAAAAAAACTAAGGCCTAGAGAATAAAAATGATGAAGTGATTGAAAAAACACTTAGACGAACATTTAATCTGAGCCACCTGATATACACGTATATATAATATTTTATTTTATTCATTCTGAACTTTTTAACATTAATTGGTTTGTGCATGATGACGACAACAATGTTAGATACTCTCTATTGAACTCAACTTAATAAGCAATAGAATGTCTGCATTATCGTGCGACTTAATTTCATTAGTTTTTCTTGTGCCCTATTTTTTCCGTCGCTTGTTCAAATTCTTAATGAAATGATTCGTTGACGTCGATATGTGTTATTAAAGATCAATAATACAAGACTGTTCATGTGAACCCACTTCTAACATGACCCTCCAATATTGGATAGGACCACAAAGTCTATAATACACATGCATTGCTCAATATTTTATGATAGCCATTCATCGGGTTGAACTGCCGCCAATCAATAAAAGCAGAGACAGAATAGAGAAGGAAAAAACGAGAAAAAAAAACGAGTGGGAACAGAAACAAAAGTGATCCTAGAAATCACACGGGAAATAGTCTACATGTTCTGTTGTACCCTTTTCATTGCTTGCTTGCTTGCTTGCTAGTAAAGTTATGATGAAGATGAAGGCTATAGAGCACTAGCGTATCAGAATAGAAGGAACAAGAAGAGAAATATAAGAGCGAAGAAGAAAAAAAACGGTTTTATTGATGAACAAAGGAAACTTTATCTTTCGCTTCTCGCTCGGAATGTTTCGCAGCAAATTCTACAATGGTATATGCCGGTTTTTGCTACAATTTGTGACCGACTATATAACTAGAGCAAGGGAATAGAAAATAAGAGAAAATGCGAAGGAGAGAGAAAATAACAGAACAAGGAAGAGAAGAAACAGAAGTGAAAAGAATTCTGTTGTGTTACTTTTCCATTACAATCATCACTAGTTCTACAACTTACACTAGATTGGGACTAAGAAACATGTGTTTGAGATAGAGCGAATGTTGAGTTGAATTGAGTTGAGATAGGGGAAAAACAATCAAAATCTTAATGAAATACTCTTTTTTCATTATCATCATCACCATTATTATTGTAAACTTCAAACATAAGATTTTTTATGCCAAAATTATGATCATAAAAACGTAGAGTAAATGAAAATAGAAGAAAAGATTTGCATACTGTAATAGCACTAAGACGACGACAAATGTTCAAGTGAGTATTTTAGGCACGCTATGCGTGCACAGCAAATAAATGCATCATGCTGCATCATTCTTATGTCCTTGTCTTTCTTATTTAATGATGTCAACGACAGACTATTGCATATGCTTGACTGTTAACATTACTCGGAAAAAGTCGTCTTAATATATCTTTCTCTTCTTGTTTTTCTTTATAATATTATTCGATCTGTACAGAACTTTTCTCAATTATGTCTATCCCCTTCTTTTTTTTTCTGTTGCTGCATGCAATTTTCCCGTCCATCGATGTCTATTAAAGTATGTATTAACTATGATGAGATGCCAACGAGCATCACCATTTGACATTAATCGAACTGCTGTTTGTCATTTCTGCATCTCGCATTTAATTGGAATGTTTAAGGACTTTTCATCGGTATGCTATTTAAATTAACTTATAATTCCGGTAATGATACATGCTTATTAGTATTCTTCTTGTCAATATTTCATTTAATCTTAAATATTTCTTGTTCTTCTCCGGGCTTTGTGCTTTTTTTTTAGAGGGGGAGGGGGAGGGAAGAGGGTTTGACTCTTTATATTAACATGTTTGTATTATTCTGACAGTTTAACAATGGTAATTATCGACATAGTCGATGGTGTCCTTCCGTTTTCATTTCTTCCTTTCCACTTACTATTGTCTTCGCCTATTTTTCATTGTCATGCATCGATTACAAGATAAAGAATCCATGTTTTTCCACCTGATTACACGGAAAACAATTTTTTTTCTTCTTTTTTTTCTCTATTTCTTTCGTTCGAGCCTTCTCTCATATTCTTTTTTTAGGATTTCTTCATTTAGCGCGCATCTCTCACTAGCATAAATTTTTCTCTGCTTCTTGTTATTATATATGTGTATGTAGGAGTTACACAAGCAAGAAAGACTATAGCGAGCTTCTCCAGTCTCAATATATACGTCAACGATTTGATCTCTTTTATTTTCGTTGTTCTTCTCTTTTGCTGCTGCTTCTCTATTTTTTTCTCTCTCTATATATTTCCTATCCGTATATGGTATATATATATATATATCCACATATCTCTCTCTATATATTTGCATGTACGCCACAATGAATTCCATTTAGATAGATTGAACATTGATAAACATAAGTGAGAACGTGTGAATGTGTTTTTCAGAAAATATAATATTTATATGAGTGAGGTAAGTTATCAGTAAATAATATAAAATTTATTAAGGGGATTAATATGATTTAACAACGGAACAAATTTTTTTTCTCTTTTTTTGCTGGTATTGGGCATTCAAATGCTTGGTCGTTACAATCTATAACATTAGTCACTAATGTATAAAAAAAGACAAATTGTTGATAGAAACTTGTCATATACGACACTTCATCTTTCTCTGTCTTACATGTATATTTATATGTATGAAACAAAGACAGATGATCTAGTTCGCGCCTGTGAGGCGTCGAATGGTAGATCGTTTTTTAATTTGATTGTCAACACATACACGAATAGATCTCATAATAAAACATTAATAATAGGAAAGATAGCAGTGGGTAAAATATTACTCAGCATATCTTTTGGTTATTCTGTTTCTTCTTTCTTCGTTGTTTTCCTTGCGATGATTATTAGTTTAAATCAATAAACGAAGAGAGAAATTTATATTGAATAATCTCAACAATTTATAGCTAGAAACCTATCTCGGATGATTACAAAACTACTCTTCTTTTATCAACTGAGAATCGTAGTAATCGATTTCTTATTCTTTATGTTGACATTAAGTTAAATTACGTGATCTAGATCGAATAAAGAGATCGAAGAAGAAGAAAAAAAAACTAAATCTACTTAATGTTTTTTTTTCCTCCAGTGCTTGCAAAATGCATCTATTGTCTTGTCGTCATCGATCAAACGCATTTACATCAAACATTTAAATAGAATAGCCAATATGTGTGAATAATCTAGGCGTTTTCCTCATACTTAATTTTCATTTTTTTTTCTAACAAAAATGCAGACATTTATCTTTTTCTGCTTTTGTCGTCATATTACTCGATCATCATCAGTTTTACTTCTGTATGAGTTTTTGACATAAAAAAAATGATTGTTTGCCCAATTCTTGTTGATTTATCTGTCATTGCTTCTAGTTCCTATTAATAAGGTTATATCAATTGCTAATTTTTACATTTCTCTTCTTCTGTTTTGGGCAAGTTATATGTAGATGAATGTCAGTCTTCGAATCTGTTTATCTTGATTGTGGCATGCATCGGCTATTTTAACAATGAAAGGAAAACCAGACAGAAAATAGCCTTCAAACTAACTCTGGAAAATTTTCTAAATATTATTTCTAGATTATTCTGTTGCCGTTGACCGGTGCTTTTCATGCCAGGCCACACGTCAGCTATATGTATGAAGACATAAACTTTTATTTGTTACGTGTCAATCTGACGGGTCAAAGCGTCATCATCGATGCGCTTTTCGTGCAAGCATATTGTGGAAATTTCTTGATAGTTGTTGACGTTTATCGCATGGCCGATGCCGATAATCGGGTTATTCTAAACGTTGGCGGTATTCGCCATGAAACTTGTATGTATAATTAAAAGAACAAGAAAAAAACAGATTTTTTTCTTCATTGATTGATTGATTATTTATTTATTTATGCTTATAGACAAAGCAACATTAAAAAAGATTCCAGCTACACGACTTTCACGTCTTACTGAAGCTCTGTCAAATTATGATTCTGTCCTAAACGAATTTTATTTTGATCGACATCCAGGGGTATTTGCGCAAATACTTAATTATTATCGTACTGGTAAATTACATTATCCAACTGATGTCTGCGGTCCTCTATTTGAAACTGAACTTGAATATTGGGGACTTGATGCTAATCAAGTTGAACCTTGTTGTTGGATGACATATACAACTCATCGGTAATTTATTAAAATACTAATTTAATAAAAAAAAATGTAATATTTTTTTCTTCTTCTTCTTCTTCCTCTTCTTCGTGTTCTAGAGATACACAGGATGTTCTCGTTGGCCTTGATCGTTTAGATCTTGACGCTGAACCAATCACTGAAGAAGAAATTCCTCATAAATTTGGCTGGGATTATGATCCAACAATTCGTCATAAAAATATGAGTGTACAAGAGTATATGAGAACATTACCGTGGTTTAAACGTGTACAACCACGTATATGGCAATTATTTGAAGAGCCCTATTCAAGTAGTGCAGCTAAAGTATGTTTTAGAACGTTATTTTTAGTATTCACATTCTTTTTTATTTATTTCAATATTCTTACGAAAGGCCATACAAGTTGTTTCAATCTTTTTTATACTTGTTTCCATTATATCATTTTGTTTAAAAACCCACCCAACATTGCGCGTACCAACAATAGCATTCATTGAAAATAATTTTACTAATTCAACACCAACATATACATTACACAAAGAGAAAACTGAAGCACATGAAGCATTTCAGTATATTGAAATAGCATGCAACGGTAAATAAGAAAGAATTAAAATATACATGAAAACAAAAAATTTTGTTATGAATTTCATTTTTCTTTTTGTTTTAGTGTGGTTTACATTTGAAATTATAATACGTTTTATAGTTTCACCAAAGAAATTTGGTTTTGTTAGATCGCCTGTAAATATAATTGACTTTCTAGCAACATTATCATTTTATCTCGATATGCTATTTAATAAAGTATTGCCACCATCATTAACAAATACAGATTTATTTGAATTTTTTTCTATAACACGTATATTTCGTTTATTTAAACTAACACGTCATTATGGTGGATTAAAAATTCTTATACATACTTTTACAGCATCAATGCGTGAATTGATGTTACTTATATTTTTTCTTGTTCTATTTATTGTCATATTTGCTTCGTTAATTTATTATGCTGAACGTTTACAAAAAAATCCTGATAATGATTTTACATCAATACCGATTGGTCTTTGGTGGTCTATTGTCACAATGACAACAGTGGGTTATGGTGATATGGTACCAAAAACTTATGTTGGAATGATGGTTGGTGGTCTATGTGCATTAACAGGTGTATTAACTATAGCTTTGCCTGTTCCTGTTATTGTCGCTAACTTTGCTATGTATTATTCGCATACACAAGCACGCTCAAAATTACCGAAAAAACGACGTAGAGTAATGGCTGTTGAACCAGTTAGACCCGCTCGAGGACCAGGAGGCGGTGGCGGTGGTCCTGGTGGTCCCGGAGGAGGAGCATTAAATAAACTTGGTATAGATGCTGGTGTAAGAGGCGGTCCAGGCGTACCTTCACCTGGTGGTGGGGGTGGGGGTTTTCCGAAAAAGAATGTTATGAAACAAAGTAGTAGTGGTATGGCTGCTAAACTTGGTATCACTGAAAATAATATCATTCATAATCGTATCGGTAAGATAATTAAATGCTTAAGATAAATAGATTTTGATACAAGACATACTTATGATATTGAGTTACGGCAACTAATCTATTCTATTTAGTTTCCAATAATTTCCAAAAATTCCTTGAAGGTATATCATTGCTTCTTTCATATTCTCTTTTTCGATCTAATCCATAATGTATTCTGCATATCTTCTCTATACTGAAAATAAATTATATACACATCTGTCCATGTTTACTTCTTCTCCTTCTGTTCTTCCATCATGTTATTATTCAGGAGACAAAATCAATTATTTTTTTTTATACATATAACAGCAATCCGAATATAATCAGTTTTATGCTTTGTCAATGTTATTTCATTCATTCATATAGGATATGCTGATGAAGAACGTATACCAATGATTCAACTTAGTCCGAGGATGAGTAGTGATCATCATATGGCTAAAGTTTAAATAAATTAAAAAATACCTTCAAACACGAATAAAATAAAGTTCTGTGATATTCAATCATTTGAATATATAAAATAATCATATAGGTACGAAGCTAAATTGCATTTATTGCTCGTTTAACGTTCGTTTCGTTCGAATGATATAATAATGTTGTTGTTTTTTTCTTTTTAAAATTTTTTATCCATGCACGAATTTATTAATTTTTTCTTTCTTCTTCTACGAATATGTCTCATGCTTATCTGCTGAATGAAGTAGAGATGCATAAAAAGGAGAATATTTTATTTATTTATTTATTTATCCATATACTTATATAACGAATGCATCTCTTTAGAAAATCATCCACTATAAAAGTTGAAATGAGAACTTGTAAGTTTTATTAGACTCTATTCTTAGCTCTCTCTCTCTCTCTCTCTCTCTCTCTCTGTCTCGGTCTCCTTTACATATCTTATTTTATTACATTACGAAAAAATTTATTTCCTATCCTGCATGTTAAAATTATTTAGCATATCATTTTTATTTCAATAGATATTTGTTGTAGAATTTGTTTGTGTTTTTTATTCTTCTTCTTCTTCTACTTATTATTATTATTGTTTTAATGAATATTATTTGCATATCTAAGAATATTATTGTTAGAAAAGTCTGACTTATTGTTTTTCTTTTTTTATTATAGAAGAAATGGAAATGAAAATCAGAAGTGACAATACGTCTCCAATAAATAATAGCACAAGTACAATTGATAATCAAAATGATGATCATAAAAATGGACGACGTTCATCTTTTCGCATGCAGTCATCGCGCACGGTTCTTACTGAAGTTGTTTCTTGAAGCCATTTCTTTTGTTATTTATTTATTGGTGATGTTACTAGTCAAAATGTCCCTCTTGTCAACGTTTGAAGAGACATAAACATGCGAATGCCGTCCTAAACAGCTTCTTTTTCTCTTGTCTCTATGTCGAGTTCCTTTCTACATTGTTGCCAATTGTGATTGATTCTTCTTTTTCCTTGGTCTTGTTCTCAAAACACTTGTTTTCATTTCATACCACGCTTGTTCTGGGAGCAGTCACGAGAAATAAACGAAAGAGAAAAGAATTATGATGGAAAATAATACTGAATATATATATAGAGAGAGATAGATAGATAGATATATGTATACAGGAAACTCGCTCGATCGTTCGACTAACCGCTAGAGAGCGGACACCAAATTCAATTTGGGTCTATCGCATGCATGGCACAATCAGGCAACGACGAAGGAATACTAATAGAAGATGAATAAGAGAAAAAAGGAATGAAAAACCGATTTCCCAAATGAATTTCATACAGCAAAATAAAAAAAGAAACGTGACCTCGACAGTACAACCTGTCCGGGAATTCCTTTATATATATATATAGCAAAGAGAAAAGAAGAAACAATCAAATAAAAATTGTGAATAAAGCAAAGAAGAAAAATAAAAAAGAGAAGCTTTTAACAATAGAGAATAAGTCAATGATCATATAGCTATTCACATTCGTAATTCTTTACCAAAATTTGCATCCATACGACGAATATACTCTTCACACCACATACGTAATGATTCCTTGATTAAATAAAAACAAAAATATATCTTTAGAAAATAAAACGAGTAACTTACTTCACATGTATTAATAATTGAGTTTATTTCCGAATTTTGGATAATTGTTTCAATATCTGCATCAGTATATAATGAGAGTTGCCATTCATGTGGTAAAGCCTATTAATAATAAATGTAATAAATATTTTTATTTAATTTCTTCTTTTCTATGACATACGAGTAATTGAGATTTGGATCCAACTGCGCGCCTACCAATATAAAATATAACCGATGCTAATACTTTAAGACTAATTGATTCGTTTGGTGTTAAATGACCAAGAATAAATCGATATTTAACTGGTTTCAATAATAACTGAAATAAATAAATAATGAATTTTCTTTTTTAAAACTTTATTATTATCCAATTTACTGTTGTAATAAGTGCTCGAAATAAAAAAATACCAATAAGTAAAAGTTTTGCTCGATGTTTAGTTATATTTATAACTTTTAAATTATCAAATTCCAAAAGTTTCTAGAAAGAAAATTTTAAAAAGAAAATTTATTGATGGCAGAAAAATAATTATAACATACTCGTTCACAATCCCAAAAATACTTTTCAGGAAACGGATTTCCATCTTGAATAAGAATTGAGACAGCTGAATCTTTTTCCGTGCCAAGAACCCCTTCCTTAGGCTATGAATAAATTAGAGTTTAAATGAATTTCTAATGAGCAATTATTTTATGTATATCTATAGACACAAAAAATTAACGAAACGTAGTGAAAATTAGAGACCAATTTAATACGCAAGGATAATCTAAAGATCAGAGCATGATGACTTTTTCCTACGTACGACACATCGATGAACTATTTCAATTCCATTGATTGTCTCGTGACCTGTATACTTATTTTACAATGAATTATCTAATAATAATTTTGCAATCATTGCTCAATGTCTTCAAAAAAATTATTTAGTAATTAAAAATCATGTATTTTCTCTAAAACGAAAGAAAGTGTTTCAGTTAGACGAATATAAGAATTGAGAGTTCGAGAAATGACTAAGATTATTTTGCAAGTCTATTTTACCATAGATATATCTTGAAAAATGACTTACAGCGAATTAATTATTCTTTTTATAGAAATATTTGCTCCATTGAAAATCCATTATTCCAAATCAGTTTCGGAACATCAACCTTCCATGCAAACGGATGCATAACTATCTAAACCATAATTTCTAAAATCCAGTGATTTGCACGAAATAATTCTTTTTAGAATTATGGAGATTTGAGTATTACTCTTTGATCATCAAATGAAAGAAACTGAGTTGAAGATTGACAACTAGCTGAGAGCAAACGATACGGCTAGCAATTGATTATATGATATCAATTGACAAAATTGGAATAGACGCAGTGGCTGAAATAAATTCCTCTTACCATAAATTCAGTTATTTTTGAAATAACAGTTTTTAAAGTAGTTCCAATAATGCCAATTGCGTCTGAATAAGTTTTTGTTGATCTATTTAATGCATTGTCCAATGATATTGGATTATTTATTGCATGAAAAAGAGCACTGTGTATCGCACCCTCAGGTTCAAGATAAACACGATGCAAAGCAACGATTATTTCTTGAAGACGAATTTTATGTATTAACGCATTTGGTGGTTGACTTGAATGATTCTTTGACTCCTTTTTTGTTTAGCAAAAAATAATTGTTGGTTTTGTTTTTGTTAATTTTATTGTTGTTCAACTTACTTCACGTGTTTTAATGGCTCGATGTTTAAGACGAATTATAAACAAAATTCCAATAGCTTTTTTTCGAAATAAATTCCGACGGAATTTTAGTTTCTTTTTTTCTTGAATATTTGGTTCCGGCGTATATTCATGATGATCCACGACTACAACAACAACAACAACAACAGAAAAAGAAACACTTCATTTTGAAATAATTCAGCTAAAAAATTAATTTTTCCTACCACTATTTGAAATCTTTTCGTAGCGACTATGTTGAAGATTAGCCAATGGTTTTTCATTTTCAATATTTAATTGACCTGTTTGCAAATATATTATTAGAAATCAATTTTTAAAGTGAGATAAAAACTTTAAAAAAATAATTTAATACGTACGATTGTTCCAAACCGATATTGATGGAGTTTTATGAGTTTGTGAATTATTTAATGCATCTATAATTAGCTTGAAAATAAATTTAAACTTGATATCCTATGCATACTATATTTTGAAACTGATATTGGACGATATTTTGGCGCTTGTGGATCATGTTGCGAAGTATTTAATATATCTATTATTGATCAGACAATAATTTTTCAAGAATACTTTTGATACGTACGATCTCTTGTAACTGATATTCTTCGATTTAACGGAGTTTGTGAACGATGTTGCAAAGCATTTAACGAATCTATAGTTGACTGTTTAAAAATATAAGTTTGAATAATATTTTTCTACATACTATCTTTTGAAACCGATAGTGTTCGATTTATCGGTGTTTGTAGGTGATGTTGTGTAGTATTTAATGCGTCTAGAATTATTTAGAAAATGTAGACTAAGTGTAGATATATTATCTACTAAATAATGATTGGAATATGAGCTGAAAAAAGACTTGTTCACTTGTCAGCCTTCCAAAAGCGAACCTTCATACAATGTGACAGTATCGGGTTAAAATGTGAATTTTCCGTGGTATGACTTTAACATTTTTGTAGAACTTCTGATCTAAGATTACTGAGCTTTAGAAAATTTTTAATGAAAGGCCATATCTCGATGCTCATTTCAAACACAACAGATAGCAGCAAAAACGTTTCTATAACTTGTACAGTAAAGAATGCGATCGTTTCAAAAGAAAACGAAATTTTCTTCGCTAAAACATCATTTTTAGAATTTTAGAAAGTCGTCTCATCATCACATGTAAAATAGGATTTCTGGATGAAGTCTGAAACAATGTGGCAGAAAATAATATAACAGACTAGATTCAAATTTCGGTAGATTCCGTTAAGAAGCTGAAAAATAAGTCTATAGATTTTATCAAATGACTGATCAATCAGTCATTAACAGTTATCGTGCTGCCTTTGAGTGATTGAAGTGACAACTGTAAATAAGCGTCAACTTATTCTAATCCATTTTCATTTAATGACGAAAGGTCTGCTTCAACAAAAAGATAACTAAATATTATCAAATATGAATCAATCATAAGCAATAGGATTTCTTCAATTGAATCTGACGATTTTCGTGATGACATCTATTTTTGACTTTGAAAGTAGCAATTGGAATCAGAATTAGCTCACTTATTGCGGTAGATTAGTTCTTTACTAATTGAAAGTTCATTTAAATAAATTGCTTGTTCAATCATGAAAATCATCGACCAAAACTTTTTTCCTCTAAAAGTTTGTTACTTTCTAAAAATAACTTTCCTTTGATCGAAACAAAAATCCAATTAACAGGTAACCCGTAACGAATGCAACGCTTCTATTTATTTTTCTCTTCTTGAAAGAGTGCAAACACTGTTGAAAGACTTTGTTTACATACCATTCGATAGAGAATCTTTGCCAAATAGAACTGTTAATGATGTTCTACAAAAATATTAATTATTCATTTCTTTTCTCGGATAACAGGAAAAAAATGAATATCGGACTGGATCAACAAACTGCTATTTCATATTTTCTATGAGTATCTATTAATTTGGGCTATCGTATAGTCATCAAGACTAATACTAAAAATAAAGCGTTTACGAGCAATTATTTTCAAGACCATACGCGTGGTATATCTAGTAAAATATACGATAGGATATAGAGTGTCATAGAGAACTTTGTTTTTGCATGAAAATTTCAAATTATTGAGATAAGAAATTCTATTTCACATTGATGTTTTGTTTCGAGGTACAATTATGATCAGTTATAGTAAAGATATGGTAGAATTGGCGTTCATCGCTATATTGTATTTCTTCGTAGACAGTAGAAAAAATCATCTTTACTTTCTGATCAATTCTTTGGACTAGTCTCACTATCGTTTCTACGTATCCTCTGAATTATTACGCAAACACTCAGTACTCTATGAATGACATCAAATTTTCTGTAGTCGAAATCTATCGCACAAAAATTACCTGCTCTTGATGTAACATAAATATCACTTGGTAAATCAATTAAATGTTCCGGTGCATCAGATAAACTGAACGGTACTGCTTGTTGTTGTTGATGATGATGGTGATGGCGGTTATGAATATGAGAATCATGTTTATTGTCATAAAAACTCGGTGTCAATGGAGCTCTTTAGAAAAATAAAATCATATACATATATGAATTTAATATTCAACTAATTACTGCAAATGATTTAAACGACTCGAATCGTATCCTGACGAAATCGGAGGTAATTTCGAATAGGCATTTGTATAAACTGACTGATCAACACCCAACTGAATGTAAGGAAAAAGTTTGCAAACATAACGAAACGCAGCAAAAATATTTTGTACATACACTGTCAGGATCAGGTTGAATTCGATTATAATAATCAATTCGTGATCGAAGTCTTTGATTGAAATTATTTGTATTCAATCGATTAAGATCTTTAATTTAAAAAAAAAAGAAATAATAAATCCAATAGATCGGTGCAACGAACCAGGCTCGATTAAATTTCTGATTGATCTATTTGTTACTAATGGATCATCACGTCGTTGTGGACTACGATATGTTGTTCGACCAGAATGCATTGATTCTATTATTTTAAAATAATCTTTTAAAAATAAACCAAAGCAATCCTATGTTACCAGGATATGGATCGTGATGTCTACTCGTACGTCGTTGCCGATCAATAGCTGCCTAGAAAGAAAATAAAAATCTCCCGTTATTTCAAATAATTAATATTTTTAATTTACGAACATCCAATCGCCGATAAGCTAAATGTCGCCGAGCCATTGAGTCAATTAAATCATCGACATTAGATGTTGAATAAACATGTTTTTCTATGATAAATAAATTAAATTAAATTCAAAAAGACTTCACGGTTTAAAGTTAATATTAATTATAAACCATTTAAAGGTTGTAAATGCGAACGAGAATCATAGGAAAAATTCGATAATGTCAATGATTGATTTAATTGATGATTTTTATTCAATGAATCCTATTTAGATAAAAATCAAACGATAGAAATCTATGTTTATCAATACAGATCTTACTTCTATTCGAAGAATTTCCAACTCTCTCTCAATATCCGTATTAGGAGGAAGGTCATTCTCTAAGCCTAACCGATCTAAATATTGAAAATTTACAAAACAAATTGATGAAACAAATAATTTAGCAAAGCAACAACATGCACGTCACATAAGATATTTTAGAAGTATGTGCTTTTAATGTGATAGAAATAACATCGTGCAAATGTGTGATTATAGTCGGACTACCTCGCGACATACGCCTGGGTGACGATGGCGTTGCAATAGATAATATTGATACAGATGTTTGTCTGCTCAAAATTCTCGGTACAACTTGTTGATGAACTAATAAAGATGGTGGTCGTACAGTATTTAATTCATATTCCGTTGGTGTTGGAGATGAAATAGAAAGTTTTTTTTCTGAAAAAAGCTTTGTTTTAATATTTTACAAGTTTTTTCTTTCGGAAAATCAATGTATTGATTTATTCATTAAATAGTACATCTAGTGCTTCCGTTTCATATTATCTATATAATAAAAGTTACAGCTCATAATCATAGAACTAGTTATCGATTTTTCAATGGGAAAGAAAAACAAGATATTCATACTGGTGTAGACAAGAAAAAGTTGCCGAAAGGATCACAGTCATTTTAGTCACGTCTACAAATAGGACTGAGATTTCTCTTTTACGCCATGATTTAAACATCTAGTTTGCGATCAACAATCAAAATTTATAATTTGATAAATGAATTCTAATTGAAGTCTACATATGAGATCTCTGACTTTTATTATATGAACAATTAATGATTAGCGGTTCATAATGAATGTTTGTGTTTTCTTTTTATCACCTAGTGTATTTTACATAATAATAAGAAAATATTCAACAAAATATACCAATCAAACAGTTTTTTTTCTTATTAATGCATCCTTAGCTCTTAAAAGCAGACTAAAATTTTGTCTGAGCAGATCTTAACGATAAGAATACGACTGATTGCTTAACGATTTTTTCTCTCATCATATCATATCTACATTATAAGAATGTGTAAACTCAAAGATTGATCATCTCATAAGAATTCTAATTTCGTTAAATACAGTTTACAATAATATGACGTCTACAATCAATTTTAAAATCTACTGAAAGATGAAGAAATAAAAAAATTATATTGAATTCATTCTTCTACATGCGCCATATATGCAGTCAAGTGGCTTCTTGCTAGTGATTTCTCATCTATCAACGAGGCAATGGTGCACGATACTTATCTTAAAAATCAATTGATCTTCTATGAAAAGAATTCTATTAGAGATGTCCGATGAATATCCAACAATTCTGATCTCAGATTTTTGAGTTACTACATTCCGGGCAATATCATCAATAGGGCAATAAGAGATAATAATAAAAAAGTGCATCAATTTTGAAAATAAAGAGTACATTGATTTGTTTTTGTTTATTAGTATATTGTTGAACTCTTGCAAACATCGTCTTGTGATAGATTTAATTATTTAAATAAAATGTGCTCAGTGATAAAAAGTACCGAATCATTGATTACGGTTCCCTCGTTATATGAAGAAAACTAGATGTACGGTTTACTTCGGCCAAGAACTAAATTGATGAAAAAAAGAAACATACGTGTTCGTTTGATGTATTCTTCCGTGCTAAGATGTTGATGGTCTAGTTCCTGAAAAATAACAATCACTTTGAAAACATTGATTCATTTGTCTTGTACTTACAGCATCAATTAAACGAAGACGAAGTCTGTGAATATTATCTTCGACGTTAGCATCCATCGGTTTTGATAATAACTAAAAAATTAATAGCAGTTATGGAAATAAAAATGTCAAGCTTGTAATGGATACACAAAAAAATCAATTTTCTTCTTCTTCTGTATGTTTTTCTTCTGACGCAGCAAAAGCACGTCAAGCAATGTGTTGTTTCTCTTGTTGAAATTGTATGTTGTCGTCATAGACAATGCATGAGTTCCTGTCACCATCAAAATATGATCTTTTTTTTTGTTTTAATTTTATTAGAAAACAGAAGAAGAAAAAAAGAGACTTGACTTTTTTTTTATTCAAAAAACTTACTGGAACATGAAATGGAAACCGTGCAAAAACAGGCAAATGTTTTTTATTAAGAAGTCCATCAACATTATCATCCATGGCTAGAAGAATCATAGATTCTGCTGTCTAAAGTATAGAAAAAAAAACACGTATTTTTTCTTTTTACTTATTTAGTGTACATGTTACACTAGTATCAATTCGCAAAGAAAGATTAATTTCAGATGGCAATGGCTGTTTGTCATGATTTTCTAAATCAGTTGTTGACGAGAATATACTTATTAATGATGGTTCAACCAAGTTACTCTCTGTCATAGGATCATGTTGTTTATCATTTGAAACATGAGTGTCAAAGTCTGACGTCGTTTTCTGAGTTATTGGTCGTTCATCGAATAGTTGTGGTGGCTGAAATTGAATTGGACGTGGTAGAACAGGCAACTTTCGTGGTGGTGGAGACCGATGACGAAACCGTTTTTTTACCTGTACCATTTGTATCGTGCGAAAATAATGTGCCTATGAATGCGGTATTTAAAGGCAGCCGAAAATTTAACCAAAGGGATAGAGGCAATTTTTACACATTGTAGAATTCTGTTTTCATTGAAGAGAAAACGAACAAGAGCAATTAAAAACAAAGCGAAGTGAAAGAAAATCTCAACTTTAAACTGAAATGTATAGGACTCATAAGATAAAAATTTAAAATGTCAATATTAACGTCTTTTTTCTTTGCTTTTTAACAAAAACAACAAATTTATTTTTCATCGCTTAAACGCTCTCAATTTCAAGTGTAAAACGAACTGATTGCCAATGGACTGTTGAATAGCGTCATCTGCAAATGAAAAAAATCTTTTGAGTTTCCATGGAAACTCTTGAGAAAATCGATAAAAGCATTACGGGATTTATTCCTTGAGCATCAGTCGTAAGAAATATGTCTAATTTGGAGATTAAAAGTCGTTTTCATATATTACATGTTGAAGTTTCACATGGTAAGACATAGACTTTTTGTGGAAAATTGAAATTTATTGCTATTAACAAGGTTCCGATCGTCATGATATTCATATTCATATGGAACGACCACCATTAGTTAGAGATCTTATGGAAGAAGTAGAAAACAAAAGTCATGTAACAATGCCGAACCAACAGCTTATATTTCGTGGTATTGCAAAATTTGAATTGAATTATAAAATCCGTTATCGATAATCTGTTGTTTTTTTTTTTTATTCTGAATTAAGGTCAACGTTTACATCAAAATCCAGATGCAGAATTAGCAAAATTCGGTTTGTTCAATGGAAATCGAATTATGTTAATTGGAGAAAAAGTAAAATTGAGAAATGAATTCCATTTATTTGATAATCATGTGTTGTTTTTAGTTAGCAGAAGAAGAGGATGGACATTTTCAACGTTTGTTAACTATTGAAAAAGATGTTAAACTTATTGATGATGTTCTTGAACTTGTTTGTCGTGATTTTGAAAATATAAAACAGGTAAATATTTAATTTCGGTTGTAATTTTATAGACAAAAATTTGCTTTTTTTTCTAGAGCCAACAACCAAGAAGTAGATGTGAACATTTTCTTTTCGATTTACAACAACGCGGTGAACGTGCTCAAACAGATTTAAAAGCATTTCAATCAATTACAAATAATTTAAATCTCGATACATCAGAAATGCATGCATTGAAAAAGCGAAGTCAAGTTGCTGCTCTTATTCAAGTAATCTACTCTATTACGATAATGCTATTTTCTTTGTTCTTTGTCTGAAACACGGCGAAAAAGAAAGATTGAAATCATGCTAAGTAAACTCTGACAGGTAGCCTTCATTATTTATTACGGACCTTGGCGGATGTCTTAGAAACGTCTTTTCACCTTGAAAGATATCTTATTATTTTCCTTCTTTTTACAGCGTATAATAAATACACTTTTGAAATCGAACTCTTATGTAACACTGCTAGAAAACATGATTCAATTTAATTTAATTATTTTCTGTTTTGTTCTCATCTTAACATTAATATAATAAGAAATTAGTCTATGCCCTCACATACAAACTCAAACTATGAGACATAACAGAGAATTTACATGACTTTTATTTTCTATAGGAGCCTTTTTTCCTGTACAAGTTCTTTTAGTCTGGACATATTTTAGAATGTTGACTCTTTCATCTACTGATTAAGCATATTAATTAAACGGTAGTTTTAGAAATCCGTGAAAATTTCAACTCAGACTTTACAACATGAATTGCATTCATGCCAAAATTATTTTTACTCGTTTAGCCATTCTCATAATATCTTTTTATTTCTCTCTCATTTAGGATCGCATTGACGTATCATCGAATATTATTTCAGCTATTTCATCGTATCAGGGAGGAGGACAGAATGGCGATGCCAATCATCCTGACAACAAATAACTTCAGTTATGTTTGGTTTATAAACTCAGAGTGGTACTAATGAACACTTTTTTTTCTTCTGGAATATGAGTGAATTGCAAGTTTTGTAACACAGTTTGCAATAAAATCTGGATGCTTAGCTAACTAGATAAAAATAAATTACTACAGATACAAATTCAAACTTGAAAATCCGTTCAGTGTCAAAGTAATAAATAAAACAATAGAGTTTTGAAGTTTCAAAGAAATCTCTTATAATTTATAATGCATGTTTTCTCAATGATCACTCCAGTACTGGTAGCGACAACGCTTAAAAACGAAAATTGAATCATATCCGTCTGACTCTAGAGAATTTACCAACTTGTGATAATAGTACAATAACTAAGCAACATGAAAATAAAATCGATGTCAAGACAGTACCGCACAATTTATAACAAGAAATCCGTGTGCGATCGTATTTTTGTTGTTGCGTATCGTGTATATGAAGACAAGACCGTTTGTGAGAATATACTGAATGAAGCATGCGTTGCGTACGATTTTCATACGTGAACTCAGTATCATAGGCGGATCCTTATCAACTAAGTAAGATCGTAAAACACAGTTTGCAAGGTACAGTATTACAATTGGATAATAAATTTGTAGGCTAATCGATGACCTTGAGAACTGTATACACAACGATAAAATACGATCTCAATATTGAGCACAATAAGCTTCAATTCACAGATATTTACGATTCTTAACTGTATAAACGACAGTACGAAACATAGTTTGTCTTCTTTTTCGAACGATTGAAAGCATTGTTCTCAAAAATATTCAGTCATTGAATATCCTAATGTAGAAAGAGAGAGTTTCATCTACAAGCGTACTTATTCGACCTTAGATACGTTGTTTAGATGTGGTGTTCATCGCTATAAAATTATTCACCCTAATTCAAATATTTCAAATCAATTATAATTATCATTATCATCTACATATTTAAATCAAAATAATCTTGTTTCAAAAAATGTTACCCTCCCAACAAACCTAATTCCATGAATATTTGAACAATAAAATGTTTATGTTTATTTAACACAAAATGATTTATTATTGGCTAAATCTTTAAACAAATTTCTAGTAATTATTTGAATCGCATTCAAGAAGATTTCTTTTCGATCTTGTTATTCGTTTTTCCTTTCTGTTCGTAGTATTAAAATTCAGATACTATTTTTCTTTTCACTTTTCGCATACAATTCTAGTAAAAACTGTACTTTGCTCATCTAATAATTGTGCGTTTGATCATTTGAATTTCATGCTTTTGCTAATATATTATATTGAAAAGCTGCGAAGGGTGTGGGTGGGTGTGGGTGTGGGTGTGGGTGTTGATACACACATATGCATTCACACCCACACCCACACCCCACAATATCAGAATTGCTTGCAAAATATTGTTCACAAAATGTCCATTTGAATTTCACCTGATTGACCCATAATGAACTAATCAAATTTTTGTATTGAAATCTGGCCCCAACATTTCTCTGTCCAATGGTGAAAACCGTAGATCTCTAGCTCATTGCGTTTTTGAGTTATTCAGAAAACTGTGGCGGACACTATACTTTGGAACGGACTTTACTTTCGTCATAAATTTGTCCACTCATTTGACTTGTTAATAATGATGAAGAAGATTTTAATGTTCGGAGACCTTTTTTTACAATTGATTTAACAAATGAACGACGAGGAGAAACATTTGATGGAGAATTTATTCCACTTAAAGATGATATTGATTGTGTTGGTTGTGTTATAGATACTTTTTGAGATTTACGAAAGCGAAGACTTGGAGAACGTTTTAATGATGGACTTCGATGAGAACTTTTAGATTTTCGACCATTTGACGGACTCAATTTATTTGAATCTTCAGTTGGACATGTTAAACTAAATGAAAATTTTCATTGATGATTGAAATCAAATATTAAAGATGAAGACATTAGATATTCTATTTGTTTTCTTTCCTCAATCATTGAAATATTTTTTAGAGGAAGAGAGTCTATTTACTATTCAACGGCTATTATAACTTTGTTGTAGATAATGTTTCGTAAAATTCTGAGTTATTCTTTTGAAAAATACTTCAACACTATTGTAAAAAGTAACCTGACGTTCATTCACTTTGTTCCTTTCTATGAAAATATTCGACTTCTGGAATTCATCATCAAATCAATAAAACAATTGTAGCCTTAACAATTAAACTGTCAACTTTAACAGAGATCAACACTTTTACTTTTCGTTTATTTTTGAATAGTTTATTAGAATAAATTAAAAGAAAAGGCTAATCTATCTAACTAAGATTCTAATCTCGGTCTTATATTGATCAGGATCAAGATGAAATGCACCTTATCAAAATTTCATCATTTGATCTAAATGTTAACTCCTCGTAAGTATTTTCTTTCATTCTACTACATGTGAATCTTGCCGTCCATCAGATCCTTTTCGATAGACTCTTTGGAAGAAGAACAAAAGGAATATTAATTTATTAATATATTACACTTACTCTTGTTCACTATTATTATGATGATTAGGTGCAATAGGTGGTAATGATGAAGTACTTTTTCTTTGAGGTTTTTCTTGATTATTAATAATTAATTGTTGATTATCCGGTTCTGTTTGTGACAAAATACAATTTTCTTTAATAACTTCTAACCATTCTGCTAATGATTGTAAATCTGGTGCTTGAAATAGAAATTCACTTTGATTTCATGTTATTAATTTAAAAACTCTTGGCTTTTTACTATAATCACTTGCTAATTCAACATCAGCATTTAGAAGACTAATTGGAAATGAATCACATGAAAGTGGAATTAATAATCCATATTTTTTTTCTTTGCCAAGAAATAAAGCTCCACGCCATGAACGATCAGGTGCTCGACGACCTTCTTTTAATACAGTCTTACAATAAAGTATTCCTTCTTTTGATGCTTCTAAATTATCAGCCAATGTTGTTAATAAAATGGATTCTCGTAAATTTGTTGTTGAATCATCAAAATAAGCATTCGATTTCGATTGATTAATCGTTGATGATGGACGATGATCAAGTGCATGTGCTACTTGAGGAGTCTAAATTTATTTATATTTAAAAAAAGAACGAAGATTTTTTAATAAGATTAATTTACTCCTTCGCCAAAAAACATTTTTAATTTCTTAATTGCTTGTGTTTGAGGATGAGGTGCATTTCTTAAATAAAATTAGAATAAATAATTATTTTAATATTTTATTTAATAGAAAAAAGTTCAACCTTAATTTCTGTTGTTGTTCGGGATCAACATCATAAGAATAATTTTCATTTTTATTTGTTCGAACAAAATCTGCAGGAAGATAATTTTCTCTATTTGATGCTATTCGTTGATCAGTTGCAATTAAATATGAGGTTCGACGTTGTTTTAATTCTTGTTCGGATGTTTCAGGTGTTCTTCCATATTGAGGAACTAATTTTAAAAATGAATATTTTATTCCAATTAGAAAGAAAAATTATATTGAAAATAAAATTTAAAAAAAAACCTTTGTGTCGAAGAATAGGTGTTTCAGGGTTGAAGAAAAAATCAAGCTGACCAAAATCATGCAAACTAACTAGAGTATTACGATTCAAAAAACGTCAAGCAATAAACAATTTATCTTTTTTATCCTACCAAAATTTCCTTGTTCATTTTGATTAGTTGATCGAGCAGCTGTTATATAAGAATCTTGACGAATTAAATTAACTCCGCCAACACGTGATGGAGATCCTGTTGAATAATTATTTAATGGATATCGTTGACTAAATCAATAAGGATTAATCAATAAAATAAAAGAATTTTCTCGTAACACAAACTTGTCATTTGTTGCTAATGGAGCATAATGAGATGATGATGTGGCTATTGTCTCTGGTGGTTGATTTCCTTGTATTGGTTCAATTAGGTATCGAGGATCATAATTATATTCAATGTTATTCATTTCATCAGCTTAAACAAAAATAAAAAATAAAAGATTTTATTTAATAGAATTGCATTTATTTCAATTCCGAGTCAAGAATTACAACTGATGCATTCATATTGTCAAATAAGTTTGATGTTTTCAAAAAAAGGAAGAAGAAAAAAAAATGATCTGCCGTATGCGACAGAAACCATATGTCAACTCTTTTATAATTAGCTTTTCAGGAATTATCATAACTGTCTCACGCGTTATCAGTGCATGCAGAATTTTATCTGATTCTGCCAAGAAAATAGAACCTAAAGGGACTCGCACATTATTTCTGCTCCATTGAGATAAAAAATAATCAAAGAAGTTTGAAGCTTTTTGTATAGATCAATAGAACAAAAACTTGACATTTTTATATGTTCGAGTCGCAAAATTAACTCCAATCGCTTCGTTTTCTTAGTTGTCATATTTCCCAAAGTGCTTAAAGTCATTTCCTAATGTAAAACGCTGTTGGAAGTGCCTAAACTTTTTTTTTTTTATCTTCTTCCACTCTACGAGAAAAGATCAAAAGACTGCGATTAGCAATACAAAATGTATGTTTTTTCTCAGGGGAGTTCTTTTATGTAAACAAGCGATTAATTAGATTTTGAAACAATAAAAAAACTATTAGATATCGTAAACATTTTCTTTTTATGTAGAAGGAGACTTTTCGTTCGATCGGATGTACGCTACTCGAAAAACGACTCACAATGAACCAGTTTTTTTTTCTCAAAATCATTAAATTAACATACATATCGAGAATAAAATTAAAAATTTTCGATCGGAAGAGGGTGTGGGTGTGGGTGTGGGTGTGTGGGTGTGGGTGTGGGTGTGTGGGTGTGGGAGTGTGGGTGTGGGTGGGTGTGGGTGTGTGTGTGTGGTGGGTGTGGGTGGGTGTGGGTGGGTGTGGATGGTGCTTGTTATCTGTCAAGCAACCCGCACACCCCCACACCCACACCCACACACCCACACCCCAACTGCGATGGAATAGTCGTAAATTGGAGTGCAGAAAATAGATTCACAAATTACTGAAGCTTATCGGAATACGAAGTCAAGCAAACCAATGATGCCAAAGTTTCTTCGCAACATTTCGTAAAATCAAATTCATACCATTATAATCTAGAAAGTCAAAATTTACTCATCAGCACTTGCCTATCGGAAGTCTCAAAAATAAGTTAGAAGAGAAACAAAGCATCAGCCGCTCAGGCTTCAGCTTTTCTAGTTAAAATGTGAGATGATGAAAATTCTGAGATATTGGCGAGTTTTTAGAAAATGAACACATGAAACACATCCAAATCAGTTGTGTTCTAAAGATCTCATAGAATGTGACTCTTTTCTGTTGGGGAAAACTGAAAATATCCATCACATGGAACTGAATTCGAACGCAACAACAACTTACTACGAATTGTAGAACCAATTATTAAATATCTCGAAAAGACAGTCACGAAAATTACTGTATCGGTGCTGATATATGTGAAAACGTCTAAGACCTATTGCATGGGGTTTGTCCCACAAAGAACACAAATGTCTGGAAATTGACCGAACATCTCCTTATCTTTCAGAACTCTACGAGTTATTGTTATGGTAAAAAAATTAACTTAGACGAATGTTCTTTCAAAGAGGTATATGAGTTACAAATTTGACTCCAAAATAGAAAAATTCAAAGAAATGAAGAAATCAGGAATATAATGAAATATAGTGGTCTTGATTTTTCCAGCATTTAGTGAACAAAAATTAAATGTCAATATGTATTCTTGTTTCCCAAGATCGGACGCTTTCCCCATATACGTATCTTTCTTTTATAATTATTCAACAATGAACAAGGATTAAAATGATATTCGTCACTATCGTGCACTTTACAATAGATCGTATTTTAACGTTAACGTATGTTTAAAGCATATTTCTTTATTAAAGAAAATACAAATCGCGATTAACACGATTTTTTTTACATCGAACATTAATAAAACAGTACGATAAAAAAAAGTCAAAATGAAAGTCTTAGTAGACAATCAATTTATTTTATCAAAAAAGGAAAATAGAGATGATAATATTGAGAACAGACAAGTAGTCCATTAAAAATATTAGTTGTTTCAATTGACTAAAATTGTGTCATGTTGCATCATTTATGAAATTGTTCATAACAACTAACAATTTTTTCATACTGTATTATCAAGGTGCGTGAAGATTCTTGCATCTGATTTTGTATGATCGCACAGTTGTTAAAAAAATGTCAATACTTACTGAAACACAGAGCAAAACTAATTACCGACAAAACCTAAACTTTTAGTATTGTCGCATAGTTTTCCAAAATACTTCAATCATCGCTAAATGACGTACAAATGTGAAAACTTCGGATTTAAATCCCAGTACGTCGTCTCAGTTGCAGGTTGTAAATTTATCTTGATGTCACAGTCTTTGAGAACAGCGATAATACATGCTGTACGTGAGCTACATAAATCAAATAACATATCTAATGCAAATAGTTTGCTGTCTTTCTCTTTTTTTTCGTAGCACAAAAAGAAAAACGTCAACAATCAATTGTGATCATATTTTACTTTGCTGGTTCTTAATATTAGAAATGTATATTCAAATTATTTTTATTCATTTTGTTTGTGAAAGGATGAACTCTGTTGTTGTAGTTATTTCTTATCGAAAATATGCATATATCGACTTAACAAGTTCATTTAATCGTGAGTGGGGTGTAAAATGTTGTTCTCTATTCTCGGGACTCAATCTTTATGAAAAAACACTGCTCAACAAATCTTTTCATCAAACTGAAACCCGCCAATATAAAACAAGGTGGAACCCACCCGCAAGTCTGGTCAAATTGCAGAACTCTTTCCATTATATTCGAACGATATTTTCGATAATATATATATCGAAGCAATTCTAATTTTCCTGATGTATTTAAAAATCAATTCGATTTACTCTAGCTGTGGTGAATAATTCTGTTTTTTTTAAATATTACATACTCTTGGAAAGAAGCATTAAAAATCCAAAATATCACAACCATTTGCCAAACATAGAGTGAATTAGAATAATTTTTAAAAAGGGGTGTGAGTATAGATACGAATGTTGATCTTCTCTTCAGTCTCAACCTCAACCATGCCCTTTTAATTTTCCGGTACTGAAGGCAGCTAAAGACCTGAAAACTCCGTTGATACGAACATAAGCTGTATACACGGGCTTGTACAAAATAGGAAATGAAACTAAAGTTAGATAAAAGATCGTCTAATTCGTATTTGCAAAAAAAAATAAGGATAAAGCGGTAGTTTTACCTTCAGTTTTCTATTATTATTTTGCTTATTCGATAGGCAATAATCAGAGCCAACAAGAAGTGTCAATCCTTAATGCTCCTCCTTTTAAAATCATGCACTAAACTAATTTCGTGTTCACATAGCAAACCTGTTGATCAATGAACTGTCAAGGATGAGGTTGTGGAGTTTGAAAAAAGTTTGAATAGTCTACGAAGTCAATGTGATAAATGTTTAAGTTATATGCAATTGGATAGTTAAAAGAGATTGCTTATTGGCTTAACAAGCAATTGTAGAAAGTCAACTGTAATATTATCTCGTTTTATCTTAACTTGTGAGACACTACTTGGCTCATTCCTTGTCTAAAATTTGCTCAAATTGAGTCTTGTGTAAAGGCCGTCCTTCGACTTTCTTTTTTCCGAATCTAATCTATTTCTTAATTAGTTAATGAGAAGAAATTGTTGAAACCAGATCCAGTAAATGAAAAATAAAGATTAATTAATCTTGTTTTCTTTTGGCTTATGTCTGAGTTTGAACATCTACAATATTATCGAATTTTTTTAAAAATATTGCTATTCAATTCTCTTATAAAGATACAATTCGATGCAACTTTTATCTGTTTATTCGTCTATGATCAACGTCTTGACATGAGTTTTTTGTTGCCGTATAACATTGCTGTCTGTCTTTTTCTGCGTGTTCTCAGCTTGTTAATCAAATTTTTCAGGTGTAGATTTCGTCAGATACATCATCATACTCATGGCTGTTATTATGCATTTATTTTAGCATTTATTTGAATATCGGACAAGCTGTCGATGGCATTCTGTGTATTATATCATTCGCTGCCGTAATTTATTATCGAACGTCGACCTTTTCTTTCACTACCGTAAATGTTTTTTACTTTCATTTCTTTCTTGTTTTTAATCAAAAATTGATTATAAATATCACTTATCACAATGATTTCTCTATTTTTCTCATATTTGTATGCTATCTATCATTAAATCATAATTTTTTTATTTCAGTGAAGAATAACAACAATAGTGAACATCAATCTATTTTTAATAAGAACTATGGAGATAACATATTTGAAGATGAATTTGGTTTAAATGGTGATGTTGATGATTTGTTAAACCATTTCACAAGCCAATGTGTACATAAAAACAGTAAAACACCACCGACTACAAAAGTTGCAACACCTACAACATAAAGATTTTAAGATTCATATAAAAAAATGCTTGTTAGCGCATCCATTTTGGGGCTAAAATGTGAAACTCATATATCCTCTAACATCATCGCACTAATGTAAAATATATTAAATCAAAAAGTATCTTTTAGAGTAGTGTTTTGCTGAATAATCAATCGTTAAGCACAGATCTTTCTAAATTCTTTATTTCCAACAAAGAGTTTTTCGTTACTTTTCGAAATAATAGCGTGATCAATTTTTCAAAATAAATCCTTAGAAATCCGACACTTATTTTCTTCAGTTGTTAAAGTCTGTAATCGAGAGAGGACGAGGGAGAAATCCGTCGACACTTACACTCACTATTTTCTTCGAAAACGCACGACGATAGTAACCATATTCACATTTTCTTTCAAATTTAACTCGAGACAACTGTCCATTGCGAAGTACAGCTTTTCTAGGATTAAATAACGTCTTTAAGACATAAACTGTATGCTGAAAGTTTAATCGTTTTATTACAGCATGAAAAATTCACTTATGTTTGAAGCCTTGAGAAAATGATACATGTCATAACAATCAATTCTAGTCAAATTTTTACATTGTCTTCTCACTAAAGAATATTCTAGGTAAATTTTACACATCTCTATTCGACAAGCATCTGATGAGATTCTACACAAGCCTCATTGAAACAGAAAATTAATAAGCAATACTAAGTGAAACACTTTTATAGATAAAAAAGATTAAAAATAGTTTTCTTCTAGTTGAACGATGGATTTCATATTATTCTCTCTCGAGGCATCGAAAACTGTTGTATTCTTATCAAATCAGACTCAAAAGAATCGTGCAACTAATCATCTAGCGATAGTCATTTTTTGCAATGCAGGACATGATATTCACTGAAAATTATGAGCTGAATTGATATTAATAACATACAGACACAGAAAATGAATTTCTTTCAGAGACATTATTTTCTTAATTTAGTTACAATCGGCTACTTCGTTTGGTAAAATAAAAACTACAGAAAGCATATTTTTCTTCAAGCAAAAGAAATCATATATTCATTCGTATTGAAAAAAATGCATAGGCTAACGAAAATTTGCATACAAAAAAAAACAAGAATTGGCGTCCTGCAGCATACAGTAAATGTATATGGTCTAATTCGTTTTTTTGTGTTCGCTGTAGTAGGAGATATTCGAAAATCTAATAAAATTGCAGTTTCGATAAATTCGAGTCCAAATATCATCTGAAAATAGGTAGAATAGAAGCGTATTTTATATGTTTTTATTCATCTTAGGATGCGGGTTCCAATCAAAACTTAATCACTAACAAAACAGATAATTCAAGATAGTATATAAAATACAATCAATCGATATCGAGATTGTTGAATATTAACAAAATTCATCTATCTCAACCATTTTCTTCTGTCACATATCACATTCGTGCCAACACCGTACTAACCAGTCTCTATTTGTTTATTCTTACAAATATTCAGAAAATATCAAATAAATAGAGCAATTGAATTACAGTTCTGATTTGTCTAATGAAAACAAAAGAAGAAGATCTGTAGTAGATTAGCAATTTGTAATAGTTTTTAATTCATTGAGAGGGAGTACAATTCTACTATGTAATGCCCTCTGATGTGGGATGAGGCTGAGTATTTCAAAAAAAGAACACCATCAGTTTCATTCATCCTCATCACTCTCAAAATATTTATCTACTTATTCTCTCACATTTAACTGTAAATACGAGTTAAGCTCAGAGCAAAAGTAGATTTTGAAAACAAGAACAGTTTAGAAAAAAATAAAAACATTTTCATGCAGAAATTCAATAAATAACATCAGACTAAATTTGAACAAAATATCTCAGCCTTCAAAACCCTTGAAAAAACTTTCTGAACCTTGAACTAATTTCATATTTATATATATATACGGAAACGTTGGTGTGAAACAGACTTGTTTCGATCATTTCCTTACTCCATGCACAGTTGGTAGCACGTGATCCACAATCACGTGTAGCTGTTGTATCAAGATGAACAGAATGAGGTGAATGAGTATCACTTGTATTTGTTGATTCGAGTGAATCAGCATATCCAGTTGATTGTGATGAATCATCATCTTGTTCATTAAATTTAATATTACGTAAATGTTGCTGAATTTTTCTTTTAACTTTGTCTGATGCTCCAGTTTCCATAGTATAAGATACGATCGATTCTAAAATGGAAGCAAGCAATCTAATGAGACCCAAAGAAACTTCAGCATCAGGAACAAGGTGGAATAAATATTTAAGTATCAACAGCTAAATTAGAGAAAAACGTTTCATAAATTTGCCATAATTTTTATCTCGTGTTTTAGTGTTGATCCATTTATTCTTAGTTTGCATCGCTTAGTGATTTTCTGAAATAAAAAATCACAAAAAATACGTAAAGAAAACCAAGTTGAAAATGAGTAATGTGGTTCGATTTAGTTATATTCCGAAATATACTTGTGTATCAAGCAAGTTGATTGAAAGTAGTTCTTTTTCAAAAAATATAAAAGCTAATATAGAAACGGAGTTGCTTTCTTAGACAATAAGAAGATGAAAGAACAAGTGACTTACCAATTACTTCTTCATTTGAAACTATTTTTGTATTCGATCGTTGTCTGACTGTTGAAGTCAATGAAAAGGACGAGCCTAATGATTCATTCGGTGAAGATGATTTTGAACTCATGTTCTGAAAAAAATTAGTATTCGTAATGTAGGCATTGTTCATATTAACAAAATTTGTTGAATATTCCAACTTTTTTAAATTAAATAACAGACTTTTATGGAAAAAATTGTAATTCTATAGTTTAGAGTAGGGGTGAGAAGTTATTGTTATTCGATTGTTATTAATAACAATAACAATAACAAAAAAGTTATAGTTATTGATAACAATAACTTTTTTGTTATTTGTTATTAATAACAAAAAAATAGCAAATAACTTTTTTTTCTGAAAAATCTTAGTTTTGCTTTATAACTATGTCGAAACATATCAGTTTTATTTGCTCATGGTTCTCCGATTGCTAGGTGATGATACTGACCATAATTTCAATTACATAGCCTATGAAACTCTAAAAACCCCAAAGTGATCATTTCGAGTATTTGTCTCACATACAACTGAGATTCACTGATTTCTTTATAAGGGACGATTTCTCAATGCTAGATCGTCTTTGATGTGGTATTGGTCATATATAAGTCTTTGTGAGATGAGAGTCTAGGTGCCATTTTTTTGACTTATGGCCGCTTTATAATCCTTCTAGACGTGTACTCATCTCACAGAGGCTTGCGTGTCCAAAACATCACGCCAAAGACGGTCGAACACTGGGCAATCGTCCCTTATAAAGAAATCAGTAAATTTCAGTCGTACATGAGACAAATACTCCAGATGATCATTTTTGGGATCTTCGGAGTATCATAGAAAATCTAATCGAAATTGTGGCCAGTGACATCACTTAGCAATCGGAGATTAATGAGCAAATAAAATTAATATGTTTCGACATAGTTATAAAGCAAAACTAAGATTTTTCAGAAAAAAAAGTTATTTGTTATTTTTTTGTTATCGATAACAAATAACAAAAAAGTTATTGTTATCAAATAACAATAACTTTTTTTTGTTACTGTTATTAATAACAATAATCTTTTTGTTATTGTTATTTATAACAATAACAATAAATTCTCACCCCTAGTTTAGAGAGCGCCTAGCTGTCTTTTTTTTAACATCGCTTTTCATTTTTCTAATTGATTCAAGCTATACAGTTTACATGATTCTCTATGGCTATTGTTTCTTCGATTTCAGTTCATTATTTTATTTGTTCATCTTGTTTAATTTATCAGAAAATCATGAACTGTAGATGTCACCAGAAATCGAATGAGTGACATCGATGAAAAGAAATGTTTTTCAAATGTTTCACTTTGGTCATCTTATCGAGATAAATCAGAAATTTGCCTAATTGTTTGCATTAATAGTATAGCTAATAATTATAAAAACTATTTTTCTCTTTTTTAAAAATATATCAAATATTGTTTTTAATTTTTCTTGCATCTATCAGAAAAGTACACCTGTATCAAGTGTTCTAATATGAATGCAGAAATTAAAACTGAAAAGGTTTTCTCAAAACCAAATGGTACTTCTCCAGTTTTGGTAGTTGGCTCAGCACTACATGAGGGTGGGGAATTTACGATGAATTCTTAAAAATACTTTTACCTTCAGGAAATATTCCTTGCGATGCACTTCTGCATTCAAAGTGGAGAATACTTACTTTACAAGTGCGAGAAAGAAAAATGAATAGTTAACAAAAGTGAATGAAAATAGTAAATATGCTCTTCGTCGAAAGCCAGATCGCAGAAATTCGCCAAACTCGGTTTCGACGAAGTGTCATTTCGGTGATACGATTAATCGGCAATCTACCAGTTCGATGAAGTCAATGTCGGTAGTGTCACTATCTGCGATGTTTTATTTAGGCGATTTCTATTACAACTGCTGAATCTGTCCATGATGATCTCACACGATATTAGCAGTGTCAAAACTTTTGGGTACTGTAGTTTTTCTAGTTTATCATATTTAGTAATTACAGTAATGGATTAAATCAGTGATTCCATATTGAAACGATGAATAATTCAATTTAGTGAAAATCTTCTCTTCGAAATCGAGTTCGCAATTAAATAAATTGTTGTATACTGAAGCTATTACAAAACGGAAATATCGTAATTTCTGATGTGGACATTGAAGTTGAACATTAGTTGCAATACACGTCGAGAAAGGTATCTGATAGGCTTCCTGAAAGGGAGAACGGAATTCGTCATCTTCGAATCGTACATTAGTGAAATGAGTCACATCGATTATCTGTATTTCGATGATTTTGATTTCGGCAATCTGAGTTTTCGACGATGAGGCATGCAACCGATGAAAATTACTTAATTCATAACATTTGTTCATTTGTAATATATATTTACGCATAGCGTCCGTTCTAAAAAAAAACTATCGATAGCTCAATAGTAAAATTCATGAAGTAAGACCTTGGTTTATGTATACTATAGAATGCTACATAATTCTTTACACTATAGGACGAAAAAAGCTATTCGAACGATTAACTATGGAATTATGTCCAGTCGATACAGTAATACTTCAAAAGGGGACACTTTCAAATGCGCATTTTTAAGAAAATTAATTATTTCAATTCTTCTAGAAAAACCAGATACGAAAGCCGATTCCAATGAGAAGTTTTTGTTTTTGGAGTGCGCTCTTTCTTACAGAGCTGAAAAAAGACATTCAGACACGATCGTGAGGTTCCAATAATCAATTTTCTACGAAAAAAGCCATTGAAATCATTGATCCTTCTTTTTCTGCACTTCAAGTGTTGCAGAGAAACACTCTACACCACTCTGCTCGTAGCAATGGAGTAGAGAAAATAGTTTCCTTTCACTTAGTAGTAAATTTGAATATGCAATATTTTTCCGTCGATAATAAAAATAAAAATTACAATGTAATTTAATGAAAGGTTCTCAGTAAGTAAACTGAGGAGAACAAAGAAAAGGTTTTATTCAAGTAAATTTATAATATACAAAAAAGATATCTAATCAAGTGATAAAGCTTTTCATAGGCTACAAGATGACTTATTTAAGTTTTTTACATGGGATCAAACGCGCGACGCAAAATTGTAAATATGAAAACGAGTGTATTGAAAGTGCACCATGGGTGTGGGTGTGGGTGTGGGTGTGAATGCATATGTCTGTATCAACACCCACACCCACACCCTTGAACAAAACTCGACTTTTTAAAATCTTCAATCGGTTTATTTTTATTTTAGAACTAAAATTCATTTCATTTATAGAATTTGATGATTTATGAGAGGATGTTCAGTTGTAAATCCAAGAATTCACTTGTCAACTTATTTCCATCAATGAAATATTAATATGAGAATTATGAACAAATCTTTTGAGTTGGTTTTGAAAGATAAAATTTCATTTTGAAATCGAATTGAAAATTCCGTTTTTCTATTTAAATTTTGTCATATATGAATGGATGATGAATTTCATCTTTCGTAATGCTTTTTCTCACCCATTTTCACATTAGAGACAAAATGATAAATCAACATTCTTTTTCTATTCAAATGGAAAATAAAGTTTTTAATTTAAATCTGAAATATTTTAATTCTATTAGATAAGATTGATCGAAAAATGCTACGATTTGAACTTATTTTACAGTTGAGAAATTCAATTTAGAATCACAGAAAATTTTTTATTTCGAAAGAAATAAAAAGGTTCTCCGATTTATGATTGAATACTTTATTTATATTGTAAAAATTTCTTATTTCTAAACATTCAAAATATCTTTGTTTCTTTTTTTCAAGCTTAAAACTTTAATTTTTATTTCGCGCTGCAGTTCATAACTCGTACAAATCTTCTGTAATCTAACTCAATCTACTACAATTATTAAGAAAACCTTGTTTCTTTTTTAGAAGTCACATCGATTTTATATTTTATTCAAAATTTGAAATATGATCGTAAAATTCTCTTAAATCAACTTGAAATTAGCTGTTTCGATGATCCAATTGTGCTATCTTGACTTTAAACTATCATAAACTAGAACTTATCTAATGCTTATGAAGAATTTTTCTGGCTAAATGAAACTTTTTAGTAAAGAGATCAGCTGAAAAAAGAGACTTACTTGGTTGACTCTTAGCGCATTACCCAAGTGTTGTGTTCCTTCGTCACCAATTTGATTCGTAGGCAAATGCAATGTTTGTAATATCTACAGTAAAAAGTGAAGATCATTATTGGATTAGCAAGATAATTCTGTTTAACTTGTATCAGTTTGTAATAACTTACAGTCTATCACTATGTATGATATTAGAGCGACTTTATGTTTTTGAAAAGTGGGAAGTGACATTCGATATATGACTAACTGACAATAAGTTCACAGAACCATTAGATCCCTAGATCTTTTGCATTAATTTTCTTTCAATTCTCGAACGATTCGTGGTCTCAAAAGAAATATTTTGCTAAATAAATAGACGATGAAATTGTAAATCTTAGTTATGTATAATTGATCTTTCAACTCGGTCAGATGAGTTATCTGCATGTTCTATACATTTCTAGAGGTTGATTTGATTGAATAGAAAAAGAAGAAATAGGTGGATAAAATTCGATTGGAAAACTCTATCCTTGTTCATATTTGAAGTCAAACGGATGATTCTCAAGTTTGAGAATTGAAATTTAATTAAGCAAACTTCACTAGAGACACATCGATTAGTTGAACAACATTTAAGATTTTCTCATTAATACAACATCATTTAATCATTAGCATTGAAGAGAAATGATGTCATTTTTTGAGAATGAGTAAAAACATGAGTAAAACGATATTTTTCAAAACTATTTAGAGGAGAAAGATGCAAGAAAAAACGCATACTTTTTCTACACGCTTCTTATGCTCAAGTAAACAGCAGTCTAAATATTGCAGATGACTTTTTAGGTTTACAGTGAGTTTAACATCTATTTAAATGATGCAAATAAACCATTGAATTCTTACGTAAACTGTTGGTATCTGAATAATTTTATGGAAACATATTCATTGACTGCTAATAATGAGACCAACGGCTATTAATGTCTCAGTTCTGCATGTCTTTGCTTTGCTTCATCTGATTTCTGCTAGTCAGATATAATGAACAAAATATATTCCGATTATGTTCC